AAGGCTACTTTCTCGCGTTCTGCGTCAAGTTCGTTTTGAATGAACTTGGCGATAGTAGCATGTTGGGCATCTCTATTGAGAGCCTCTAGCATGACGCTAACAGCATGGATGCCCATGGTTAAACCCATCCGTTCAACCGCATCCCATTCGACATTGCTTAAATGGGAGTAGCCGTCACGCGTAGCGTGAAAGCTTCGGTCATCTTCATCATCCAACATATTCATGTTAGATGTGAACGTGGTCCTTGGACGGACTACGAAGTGCTACCAGGTGTAACGGGGCACCCTGAAGCTTGTACTGGTGACAGTACAAGCTACTTATTCTGATGACAGAATAGGCACCGCCTCGGAACTTCACGTACACTCGTACGTGCAGAGGAAGACGGTAAGAAGAAGCGAGTACTTGGTTAGAGTAAAAAGTAGAACTGTATTTATCATGGTTAACGTCTGTAATACACCCCCTGTTTATCCTCATCTAACTATGACTGAATACAAATGTGCATATCAACTATCTGCTCACCACTCATTGCTTGCGTCTGTCGTGGCGCGTCTTCGTTGGTATATATAATGGCCTATATCAACAAATTAGGAACTACTCGTAAGTGCTGCAGAATATTTGTCCTCATGACAATATTCTGAGAATATAACTCGTATAGTTATATTCTATTAACAATTTCTTATAAATTGTTATGTAACGATTCACCCCGTTACACCGGAGACTATTTGTGCTTCACCAACTGTCGCTCTTTCTTGGTCTTCTGCCATAAACGACGACACTTCTAGAAATGTTTACATAGTCTTTCTGGATTATGACGGGCCAGGGTGACCGAATCCCTTTTGGGCAATCACCGGAAAATCATCATGCGAGCGTGCCTTTGAAAGCGCTGCATGCAGCCGACCATATGACCAACGTAGCCTCTATCGATAATTTTATTAACATCTGACGCGCTTGCTTAGTGGCCAACAATTTTTTTTTGATGAATTCTGATCTTTCATGTATCCCACCAGTCGGCAGCCTGAATCCCGTTCAAGAGTCCGACGTGGGAACATAGAGATCTCGTCCACTTGACGCTGCGCCATGGCAATCGACGCACTTCTGGCCGCGACCACTTGGGCGCATCCGTGAACAGGATATATGCGCCATGACTGTCAAATAAGCACAACATGATGCGTCGTCCAGATCATGACTCCTATATATTTGTAAGCAGCCGCAGTACCAGGTGCTGAACAGCCGACGTCTCGGATTCAGTCTGGATGGCTGGAATTGACATACTAGCAATCAACACGCGAACTGGCCGATCCACCACCTAGTACAGTGTAAAATTAAGTGCGTGCAGTCGCTCGAAACCCGCAATTGCCCGGTCTTTTTCGCTCTATCTACATCGCCATCAAAAACATCGCAAAGGAGAGGTTGGCCGAGAATACTGCGCAGCGCTGGAGAGTCGTGTCTACCAAACGGAGACAAATGAGCGGTCAAGTTATGGCACCAACGTGCGATTGAAGTTTCCTCCAATCGACATTGGTCCAAAGTAGTCCTGACGGTGATTTTGAAGCATTTGATTGGTCTACCTTCGTACTCGGAGCAAAAACGTTGACCACAAGGAGTGTTTTTCCAATAACTCTGATGAGAACAGCCATTTAGTGAGGTGTCATTGGTCTTCTTTTTAAAAATCCACGGCATCAATAGAAAAGTACGGGTTCAATAGCAATTCCACTCCACCCCGCGGATATTCGGACTATCTCCACTTCGTGAGACCAGGCTTTGTCACAACCCCCTAGGTCTTATTGCATAATTCATTAAAGGATAATGCCTCCCCAGCATCAACCCTGGTTTCTTGTAAAAGGATCAATTTAATGGTTCCCTTATCCTCCCGCTGCAAAAATGACTGAACTAGTCTGTGCAGCGTTCTGGATGCTTAGAAAATCTCGCTACATTCTGAGTGTGGAGACAGATGCTGTTTTCGCATAGCGTCCCAAGTTGTTGGAAAGGAGGCGACTGCATCACCGGGGGCTTTATCTGCACGAGACAATCCCTCTATCAGCTAATGAACCCTCAGTGTTGAGGGTCCAGGAATTGACCATTGAAGGCAATAAGGTCAATCGCCGGCTTCCAGCTGACAGGTATGCATCAAACAGTGAAGACTGCCCCATGCAACCCTTTGAAGACGTGGTATAGTCCCGCTCTGGACTGTGGCGTCACCACCGTCATTCAATCCTCTAAGCAAGATTAGATAGTCACACACACACAGGATATTGAGGACTTCCCAGTGATCCAAGTTCGAAAGCAGTTATACGAAAGTCGCGCACAACAACTCCGGCTGTAATTTGCTAAATTTACTCCAGCGTCGTACGTTGCCCGCCTTTTAAATCAAATTTGACCATACTGACCATCAGCCGGTGCAGCTCAACTTGTACACAAATTCCAAATCCTCTTGTCACCATGCGTATTATCTTGGCGGATCACAGCCAGAAACATTCGCTGTTGATATAAGGCCACAAGACACAAAGAGTTTTTTTCCGTTATCGAGGCGAAATAAGCCACTGGGCACGGCAGAAAACGTACAAGTGCCGCAAAATCCAACACACAACAATTAATCCATGCGGATTTGCATTTTGGACCAATCGGCATTGTAGCAGGCACCGCGGTGGCAAATTTGCGCTGGCTGAACCATTCACGAATTACCGCTGTGTTTGCATCCAGTTAATTGGTGCTCCCCGGAAAGCTGCAGCCACCACTGTGGCCGACACGGAGTCTGGATACTTGCGAACCCGCGTCGCACGTAAGGTCTGATCATAAGGATCTTGAGGGCGGTTAAGATTTATCGGAGATCGAAAGCCAGCTGGTTTCCCAGTTCCTCGTACTTGCCGATAGGATGTGTCGCCTGGCGATAATCTACCATTTCAGGTTCAGATATGTTGCCAGAGAATGCCTTGAACTCGTCTTAGATAGCCTTAGCTGGATCCTTTGATGAAGGAACACTGTCTGCGCACGGTGGAGGAGTAACAGTCCTCCACCCACATCAACCATGTGCATGGTACTTCCAAGCGTGAAGGTGCTGTCGGCCAAAGTCACATGGAGATCACGAGAGTCCAGTGTTTCACTGTCCAGAGAACCTGCCGGTCGTACGTCTGGTAAAGCAGAAACTTGTATTCCAGCCTCTGGTGGTACCGCACAAGGTGCCGCCTTGGAAGGCACACTTGTTATGCCTTTTTTCGGCGGGCATAAGAAGACAACAAGCGTTGAATTGTCGAGTGACTCCGATCTCTAATCCTTTCCTCCGTAACAGCAGGCATGTCGCCCGACGGCGGCATACGGGTATCAACCGCCATCTCGATTATGGGCTTCTCTTTTCAGTGTAATTTTTGGCCAAGCAACTTTACAATTTGTAGAACTTGCTCGTGGCGCTAGCTGTTTCCTAAGCCGTCCGGGTCACCGCTACACCGGCGGTGCGATATTCGTATCCCAACGTAGGCAAGAAATCAATTTTTGTATCATTAAGATTAGTGATTAGATCCGTTCCGGCATCTTCACGAGCGATAGCAAATTCCAGCGCATGTGTGTGAGCCTCGAAGTAGTGAGACTTCTTGTTTATGGCATCGGCCTTCAACATCGTGGCCATAGAATTCGGCAGTTCAACTTCCAAATGAGCATCATTCACTTGCTTTTGAGCTACTGCTAAATCCGTAACCTTGGTTGACGGCTCCAATGTCACGGGAACGGCCGCAGTTCATGGAGTCCGATCAGCCGTGGGTTCCTCACAAACGCCTTCTGTAACGGGGCACTATTTGTTCGGGTGCCACGAAACTTCACGTACACTAGTACGTGCAGAGGAAGCTTATTTACTCAACGACTAAGATGAGTAAATGGTAAAAATAGAGCTGTATTTAACATAGTTTAGCTATCAATATAACTTCAGTATTTATCTAACTATATTAATCTACATCGTCGTATGACGACAACCTGTTCACCACTCATTGCGCGCGTCTAGCAGCGATTGGTGGCAATCTATGGTTAAAATAACTTTCATCAACCAATCTTGGAGCAGCAAATGGAAATAAACCTAAAGGGGATACTATTCCTTCAATATTATCCATCTCGGATAATATTGATAGAATGTTGTCATGCTGGACAATATTCCCATTGACACCGTTTGGTGTCAATTTCATGTAACGGGCCACCCCGTTACAATAGTAATTAGAGCCAAACCTCGGCGACACGGTACACGTATATATTGTATCAAACTAACGCACACGCGCCATCATGGTAGACGCGAACTTAACACTGATTCGCGATATTTGATTACCGAGTAACTCAATGGCATAATGCTCGCATAGAATGCGTCTGCACGTAAATGTCCCTCAGAGATTCGTGACAATTGAATCACTATCAGGATCTATAGCTTCGAATCGGAAAATACCGGATAACATGTGAGTATAGCTTACGTGCAAACCAACCTGCGAGCAAACCTCCTCTATCCAGTGATATTATAACTCTTTCGATTTTAGACATAGATAATCGCGACATAGACGTGAAACCACTAAAACTACCACCACACACAATCCTTCGACTAAATATCGTGCTTTTCTGGCTTTCGGGGACCAGCAAAAACATCATACAGACCTATACTATACATAATCCATTTGATCACACTTCGCAGCTTGACAAGTCACCCAAACCGGTATACTGTAGGTTCTTTCAATTGACGGACCTGACTACACCGCGCAATACATGCACCTTACCTGCATTCTAGATACCAAGACATGTGTCTCATATAAAAGTAGAAATGGAGCCGAAGCACGAAACATTACCAACCTACACCGTCGTCGGTCAGTGCTTCACATTAGGACAAAATAACGTTCACATACAAGTACTTCTCCTCGCAGCAGCATTTCGTGACCCACCCTGGTCTCGTCAAGTCAAACAACGCATCACAGTAATCCCAGCCGACTCGCCGCTGATAACCAATACACGAAAGCTTCTCTCCAATGCCACAACGTCCCTCACTGCTTAGCGTTCACTTCAATTGTGTAGTCGTAGTCAATCGTCGGAATAACCGACTGCACGAACTTGAGAAAAAGGAAGAGGTACTGATCACAACGAAGTTCATTCGCGACCTGCTCTTCCGTCTCCCTGTCACCAGGTACACGCGCCTTGAGGTTGGCAATAATGCGCTTCATGACAGCTCCATGTTGACACGGGTGGATGGACGCATGCACCAGTGAACTCCGGTGCGGATGCGGCTCCATGGTCACGGTGCGATTGGCGTAATCCTGCATAATGTCCTCGAACATCTGGTCGCCACTGAGCGGCGCGTTGCGCTCATCGTAGCCAAAGAGCCACACCCGCGGTGTCTGGTAATACTTGTCATACGTGATGGACAAGTCGTACGTGCGGGTGCGCAAGATCGCGTCATCAGCGTCATCGGGTTCACTGGCCACGAGGTAACTACCAGGTGCCGGGCCAAGTGCCGCTTCGTCGTCGTCATTCTCCACGTCTTCGACCAGATTATCCTCGTCGTCATACGAGCTCAAGTCTCGCAACTCGGATTCAGCAGAAGCAACCGACCGTCCATCAACAAAGTGGTGGTCCACAATAGCGTCCAAGATACTGCTGGAGCTCTTGCTGCCAGTACTGTACTTGTCCTTGGAATTCTTCATCTCGTGGTCCGAGAGCGAGCAGTCGTCCATCGCTTGTCCAAGATCCGGGATGATAGTATTGGAGCTACCACCGCTTTCCTGAGCATACGACGAAGCAGCCACCCACTCGTCTTCTCCTTCCACTGCTTCTTCGGCCTGATAACTCTGTTCCAAAGACGTGACGCGACGACGACACGGCACTATAGTTGCAGCAACATAAACACCATACCAGCAACATATGAACCACAAACAGCAACATTAGCAACCAAGTGCTCATTTTTCAGCGGCCCAATGCTTAATTTTTTGGCCAATGAGAGCAAGTCAATCAAGACCGTTGCGTGTGACGAGAAACTGCTTGGCGGCGGGCAAATAAGCGCGTCGGAGACTTGGCTCGCCGCCCTCCCACCGCCACGTGGGACACTTGTACACGAGCAAATCGCCAGCCTTGACGAACTCTTCTGGTGTCAGCAATCCCTTGTCTTCGAACGACGACTCGGTCAGGACGGGCGTCAAGTACTCGCGTACGCCGTGGAGCAGACTCTGCATCGTGCTTTTTTTCTTTTTTGCTTCTTTTAAGAAAAAAACTTGTTTCTTTGAATGAAAAGGACCTGTAATACTTAATATCGACATGCCACCTGTTGAGTTGTTGCAACTGATCAGCATACCGAGACTACCTCTAGCACTTCATCTCTTGTCTTGTCAAATGTTGTTACGCCGCTTGATGGGCTACTCCGTGCACTGCTTCGACAGGCCGCTGGCTCTGCACGACGTGAACGTCTCGCTCTCGAGCCGCTTCAACCGCCTCGCACACCCGGACGCAAAAGTCGAGCAACATAAGACACGAGCGTGGGAGCAACTTAAACATCACACACCTAACCTCTTTAACGCCTCGAAATTCCGGCTCCACAGCTACTCAAAAGACCATCACTCTGCAAGCGACCATCACTCTACAAGCGACCACCACTCTACAAGCGACCATCACTCTGCACTTACATTGCACTTTGGCGTAACGGACTACGCGTCATACGTCGGTCTTTGCTGCTCGTCCCTCGTTCCTCAGCTGCTTCTAGACGGAGAGCGACTGCACCACGATCGCTTTGCGTTCCTATCGAGGAAAGTCGGTGTCGCTGCAGCGCTGGAGACGACTGACGGGTACGTGGCGCTCCTCAAGCGGAGCACGGGCGTTGGTCTCTACCAGAACTTGTTTGACACGCCTGGAGGTCACCCCGAGCCATTGGCGTGCCACGTGACACAGAAAGGACTGCAGACACTGGAGGCAGACGAGGTCAAAAGTGATGAGGAGCAGGAAACGCGAAGTAGGAGGACGGAGGTGGAAGTTGCCGTGAGACGGGAGTTTTTCGAGTCCATTACGAATGAAATTCACGAGGAAGTGAACGTGGCGCCCGAGGTGCAGCAGCCGCCGGAGCTGCTGGGGGTCGTGCTGCAGACGGACGCATGTACGCCCAGTTTCTGTACGATTGAGTTGCTTGCTGGCTGAGGGGGAGAGAGGATTAGGGTTGCTTTTGTCTGATTGTTGTTGTCACGCCTGGGGTTGTGCAGCTTTCCACGTGCGGACCTTGTGCTCAGCACAAGAGCTGAAGGAGCTGTACGAGGCGGGACCGGCAGACAAGTTTGAGTCGGTGGAGCTCAAGCTCTTGTCGGTGGAGAACCTGCTGGCGGACGGATCGTCACAGATGCTGTGCGTGAGTTGAGTTTGGATGGATGGGGGGCGCGAGATAGGACTGATGTCGTGCTGCTGTTGCTGCTGCTGCTGCAGGGAGGAGCTGCCGCTGACGCCTTCAGCAAAGGGGACGCTGGAGATCTGGAAGCAGCATATGATACGCGCAGGACAAGAGCAGTAGAGAGACCGTGGCGGGGGTATACATGATTGGGTGCTTCAGTTTCGTTGTGCAGGAACGAACCTATTGTTGAAGTGAAACTGGATTGAATCACGTGATATCCATGGCAGAGGGTGGTGTTACGTGGACTGAACCCGCTTGTGGTATGTCGGACTTGAGCTGCCACGAGAAAAAGCAGTGAAGGTACGCGGGATGGCGTCGTGTGGACCGTATGCGAGATGGTGTCATGCAGACGACTATTTTGCTGACGTCAAGCTTGTCAGTCATTATGACTTTGCAGTCAAGGACAGCCGGCATATTTGGAGTGCAAGTGGCGTAGTATTGTGTACCAAACATCCCAGCACGCATGTACTTATCACGCCAATGACGTTGGCTGTGTTGCATGATGGCAAGATCGCTTCTGCTATTGCATCGCTGGATCGTGTCCATCGATTGACAAGAACTCGATACAGCTTGCACACTAGTTCGTAGAAGACGTTCACATTCATTCAGCCGAGAGCTAGAGAAACTCGTCAATGTGCTGCCTACGAGCTGGCATTTGTTTCAATGTAGACAACCTGGGCACCGGGAAGAATGTAGTCGACCACGATCTACTCCTGCATCGAAGCGAAGCGTTGACAATGTCCCAGCAGGCCAAGTGCTTTTGTCCTTACTCCAGCGTATGCTTGATCTGATATCGCACAAAGACATTCGTGCTGCCTCTTGTCTCGAACCGTGCGACATAGGGGCAGCAGGTGCCTGCGGTCTTCAGCCGATCCAAGAAAGTCAAATCAGCGAACCTTCTTTGGATCTGCAGCTGGTCAAGGATGAAGTGAGAGTTACCACCTGTCGAGTTTATCACACTCAGTCTCGGGATCGGGTGTGTGACACCATTTTGCTTCCGCACATGTGAAGTGTTGCCGGACCGTTCCAAGTGAGTTGCGCAATGACCACGAGTTTGAGGGCAAGGTCGTCTATACGACTAACTTGGTGCATAGTCGTGTTACTCACCAGGGTGTCGGTCGCATCGGTACAAGCAAAGAAGAAAGGTTTCGGAAAGGGAGGCAGGATCACTTCTTTTGTTCGCCAGGCGTTTCATCACGAATGTTCTGCTGATACACCTGGCGGCGAGATACAGTGCAAGTAGTCAGCACTGTTGCTCTCTTGTTGCTGTGCAGATTAGATGAGCGACCTGCTCGCTGAATCTTGCGCACCCGCGCGGTTTCACTTGTTTAATGCAACCGATTCCATCGAGAGCGACTTTTTCCACGTCGTATATAACATTGCTTCTGGCATCAACGACGTAGCACAAAAGGGTCTGCAGACAAGTAAGTACTTCGACCACACGAACACTCGTGACTCGTCATTTCCACCTTTTATTCAGTTCACTACCACAATCAGGTGTTATATCGACAAACAGCTCCGTTCTGTCGTCCTAAAACTTGCCCAGCAGCGACGAAAAAACCGCCATGACCGTCCACAGTCGGTTCTCCGCCTCGTCAAACACCAGCGAGCGAGGTCCGTAAAACACCTACAATCACGCACAAAAGCACAGCAACAACAACAAGAGCGAGATCCATCAGTCCTCCTTGCCATTCCAACACCATCCACACAGAAACATCCACATCTACCGCTCCTTTTCGTACCTCATCATCCACTTCGTCTTGGTGACGAGGCAGACAGTGCAAAAACACATGGTCCGTCGCCGCGTGCTCCAGCATCTTGTTCGTGATCTGATACCCTGCAAACGCCGCAAGGCGCTTCTTCGCCTCCTCTTCTTGACCCATACTGATCCACGTATCCGTGGCCACGACATTCGCACCTTTCACGGCCTCCACCGGGTCCGTCGTCATGACAACCGTCGTACCAGCAAGTGCCGCCAGTCGTTTCGTCTCATCCACGACATCCTGATCCGGTTCATAGCCTTTCGGCGTAGCAATCTGGATATTCGCTCCAAGTTTCGGAGCTGCCAGCATATAGTCATGCAGGACGTTGTTCCCGTCGCCCACCCAGGCAAACGTGAGTCCTTCAATCTTACCAAAGTGCTCGTGAACCGTGAGATAATCTGCCAGCATCTGCAGCGGATGGAACTTGTCCGAGAGGGCATTGATCACCGGCACGGAAGCCAATTGGGCGAGCTCGTGAATGTCCTTGTGGGCGTATACCCGTGCCAGGATGAGACTGTTGAAGCGCGAGAGCACGTGCGCCGTGTCCTTGAGCGTCTCGTTCACACCCAATTGAATGTCTTCGGACGAGAGGAAGATGCCTTTGCCTCCTAGTAAGTACATGCCCGTTTCACTGGACAGCCGCGTGCGGGTGCTGCGTTTCTGGAAGAGCATCGAGCAGCTCTCGCCCGTAAGGGGCTTAGGAGCCGATGCTTTGTCAGGACCCGAACACGTGCGTTTGAGCTCCTGTGCTTTGGAGAGGAGCCCCGTGAGCTGCGCCGTGTTGAGGTCCATTGTGGACAAGAAGTTCTGCCCCTGGAGAGACGCGAGCTGCGCGTGGACAGCTGAAGCGCTGGGTGAGGAGGACGCGAGTTGACTCATGTGGTAACGGCAACGGAAGGGAACTGGAGACGATCGAGGCGCGAGTCGACGAGTGAGGAGGGTTACGAGGGACATGGCTGGTTGGCTGGTTGAGTGGGTGGGGGTGAGCAGGGGCTGGGCTGGGCTGGAACGAGAGGCGGGGAGGTTAAAGGAGCTTGCTGGCTGATCACTAGGATGGGCTTAAATATGGCACGTGCCACAACGGAGTGTGTTTGAAAGATTCGCTTTTTTTGTTTGTGGAGGGGAAGGGGTGGAGCGTGGCTTGAGTGGAAAAAGGGGCTTGGCGGAGAGGTGGAAAATGACAGAGTAATTTATTTGGAGATGGAGCTCGTGGTGGTGTAGGGCTGACGTTGGGATCGGCTTTGCAAGCACGCGAGGGACTTACTTGAAGTGGCAGGAGAGGATGATATTTATTTGATGAGATAGAAGATCTGATATAAATTAGGACTGTATTTTACTCGGTTCGATCACGAGGAACCCTTTTGCAGTCGAATCAATGTAGGTGTCTGCCAGCACTGACATACATACAGTGAGTGTATCCGAAGACGAGTCTGGGGGGAACCTCGTCCTCTGCACAACTCCTTTGCAACTACACGCGAGAGCGATTAAGTTGTGTCCATCATGTGGACTGATCTTCTATCTACTGTATCGAAGTGCAGGATAGCTCGATAGTGTTTCGCTATCGCTTGGGTTGAGACGATGCCGCTTGGGTATCCGTGCACTTGCTACTACATGTGCTCAACTTGCACCACATCGGTCATGTTCAGACGTATATTCACATGATCTCGCACGATCTGGTCACAGGCAGCTTCTCGATACGGCCCGCTTTGCCTGTAGACATTCTTACTGCGATCTGCGTAGAAGATACTTGGCTATTATCGCACACAAGCTTGCTCGATTGCCGAGACTTGATGGATCGCGACGACCGACCGGGTCGAACTTTAAAAAGTCAAAAGCCCCGTTGATGCAGCAATACTGTTAGACGGACGGAAGATGTTGTGGTGTGAAAATGCACTCTTGGTCCTGAGGTAAGCGGATCAAGCGTACTCGCTCCGGATAAAAGAGAAGACGGTTGGATGCAAGGACACTACCGGAAGAAAGGAGGTGTCGCCATGTGTGATAAGCGCAATGGTAAAATTTGGCATCGTTGAAGAAAATTGCGCTACATAGTGTTGTATGCTGCATGGACACGATCTGGAATGCAAGGATCGATAAGCCGTGAGTCTGTCGTAGTTTTCTCAGGTGAAAGGTCGACACCGTACTGCGTTTGTTCATCACAAGTGGGCCAGGCTCTCAGCAGGAATAATACGACGTAGAGGTGCACAGCGAGCACCGACACAAGCAACGAGCCCACAGCAGGCTTACGTCGCGCGATAAAAATGTGTGTGATAACTAATTCGAGCGAGGAGAACGCTACTTATAGCGCACTACGGCGAAAGCCTGTCGTTAGCGTAGATCACCAAGTACAAGCCGTAAAGATGATGGCGACCCAATGTGCTCTTCAAGACACGAGGCTTACAAAGAAGTTCTACAGCAGTTGGAAAGCTGGTGGAAGAATGCTTTGAGCGCTTCCAGTAAGCACACGACTTTTCAGATACGGGGCTTTACTCATAAGGACACGCGCTTGCTCCGGACTCGCCCTTGTTTTATCATGTAAAGTGCGTTGTGCGTTTTACTCCAAGGGCATTCGTTCATTTCCGATTGTCGATGCGCTCAAAAGTCGCTCCAGCTGTTCTTCACCCCTCATGGATTTCGTATGAACCGATCTGCTTCCTTCCGATCTTGGTGTTGACGTTGTGCTTGACAAGTACGTGTAACGTCTCGTCAGTATGATGAATGTATCGAGGTCACCTTCACTTGGCATTTCGAGTGCAATGTTCTGATTTCACAGTCTCGATCAGCCGATCCACTGGGACCATCTGCGACTCAAACCTTTTATCCAATGTGTCACCTCAATCACGCACTGCATAAATGCACGAAGTCGTGATCGCATTAGATAACCACTAAAAAGTATACGAAACCGCCGCACAGCTGACCACCAGACATGATCTGGAAGTACACAATGCATCCACACCTTTTTCTTGTCGAGCGACAGGCTTGTTAGTACAACGTCCCTACTGCCAAAAGTCGACCGTAACTATCGAGTCTGCGGTTGCCTCAACTGGCAAAAAAACAAAACAAGTACCGCATGGTATGCCAATGGGTCACGATGCTTGTCAATTGTGGCAACGACAGTTGCAGCTTTTACTATGGCAATAGTGTCACGCATTGAAGTATTCGTTGGTACAAGACGGTTGCTTTGAAATGCCTGGCCACTTGACCTTCGTTCAGTTATCGATTCGTGCTGTGACAATTCACAGCCGAGTAAAACTCGAGTCACCGAGCGTACCGGTCGAAGCCTATGAGGTACACCAGCGAATGGCTAATACCTTACCTTTTCAGCAGGGTTAACGATCGACACGGGATCTCACTTACTATCGGAAACAGGGCCTAAGACTTGGTGCGTCCGTGAATCTTACAATGCGAATGTTGCTGCGACTACTTCTGTAAAGAAGCTACGAGCAGCGTCGTTACGTAACCCGACTCATCCTCACTACTTAAGACACACACCTAGTTGTCTGCGCGGACCTCGTTGCTAGCAGATTGGAAAAGTGGGTCGTCTGCGTACCAGAATATACCTCACGTTTTCACTCACTCACTAAACCGACTCATATGGCTAAGCAAAAGAACTGCTTGCACATTAGAGAGGTCAGAAACTCGATAGAATCACCTTAAGATAGAAGTCGACAAAGTAACATGTATTTGATCTTAGGACGTAGCAGCACGTCGGCCAGAAGACTATGTCATCGATTTTGCTTTTCCAACATACTTATCAAAATCTTGCGCCAGTGTGAGTACGAGGCTGTCGTCGCCTTTGCCAGCTCCCTCCAACAACGATTTCAGGCGACCGAAATCCAGGCCGTTCGACTTCCACTGTTCGAAAAGTGTATTACGGAAGTCATGTCCTTGATGTAAAACGATCTGTAGCCAATAGTCGAAGTCTTTGACGTCTATGCCCTCTCTGGCCAGCTTCAATAGTTCGCTCCGAGCTGTTAACTGCGCGGCTGTAGGGTTTGTCTGCCTTGAAATCGTTTTGGGTATATTGAGAGAAGACTCTTTCGGGGGTATCTTGAACGAAGGATGCTTCAGCGGAATCTTAACGGTAGAATCCTTCGGCGGCATCTTGTAAAAAGAGTCCTTCCACGGTGTCTTCGCGAGAACCGCCTTCCACGCGTTCTCCGATTTCTCCAACCACCAAAGAACGTTCGTAGATGCAATGTACCGATCTTCGTCGAGTTCGGTCATTTCATGAGTGGGACCATCCATCGCTCGCAAGGACCGGGTGTCTTCACTTGTGCGATCGCCAATCGACGTGCGCACAACGGTAGTCGAAGTCGTCGTTGGTTCTGGCGAAGAGACTGCAACGCCGAGAAAAGGAAGCACGACGGCCGCAGTGTAGAACAATCTACTTGGAGGGTGCATCCTCTTGAACAGGGTGTAGACTGAAAGTAGCTCGTGCGTTCGAGGCAAAGAATTGAAGAATAAATGAAAAACCCGTCGCAACCGTGCAAGCACTTTTAGCTTGAACGAATGGACGTTTCTGATCCTCTTGAGCACCTGTTGGCAGAGAAGAACATGGACGCGCGTTGTGCATGACAGCACCAACTTCAAAGACTTTTTTTTCTCACAACAGCACGACACGACTCTCTGTTGCGGGCAAAAAATGGGGCCTTGGTAAAAGGACCTCGTACGGCAGTAACTCAAGCGTATTCTCAAGCTATCGACACAATTTGTAGCCGAACTCAGACATAGAAGTTTAGGCATGTGTAGTGTTCGTACAGTCTGAATGCCGCTTTGGCAACAAAGAAGCATGGAGTGTGCTGATTGCTGAGAGAACGACTTGCTCGTGTGCTTCTGATCTACTACTTCGTGCTTGTCACAAGCTGAGAGGTGGGACCCCTTCCCGTTCTATTATCCGTCTGCTGGAAGGACACAAGTTTGTGCCCGCTATGGGCATTACAGTGCTTCAAAGCATGGACAAGAGAAAAACGTCGATAGACAGTTGGCATCGTGCTCCGTCCGACAAGTTCTGCGCTCGCTAAACGGAGATTTAGCAATTCTGCGGAGGTTACGACAAATGGGAATTTTTGTGGCAGCTCACATTTGTTCAAACGATGTTATTGACCAAAACGCAGACCGTAGTGAACTAAAGGATAAACGTCTTTGGTCTGCCAAGCCAAGAATAGTTAGATGGGTATGGCGCAATTTGGATAGTGTAAGACACTAGCCCAACTCTTCTTTACCTGGTTTGCGCTTCGTTGAAATCCTAGTTGTGCTGTGTCTTCTCCTTGTAAATGACAACGCTCTGTCGCTTATCATGAAAGACTTGAGGTGTTCCAAAACGGTTGTCAAACACTCGATCCCGAGACCAAGCGTTGGAAATTCGCAAGGTGATAACCCTCACTTCGTCCTTGACCAGCTGCAGATTAAAAAAAGGTTCACCGAGTTCACATTCTTGGATCGGCTGAAGACCGCAGAAACCTGCTGCATCTGTGTCGCACGGGTCGAGGCAAGAGGCAACACGAATGTCTGTGCAATTTCATATAACTATACACTGCACCCAATTCACCGTTGACTATAGATTAAGTAGGTGGTTTCCCGACAAATCATGGTATCATCGGCGATCATGTTTGTTACTCATTTAAATTATGCTGCACCGAGCTCAAGCTCAGAGAAACATCCATTCGTAACCTGCTCACTTGTTCATTGTGGCTATAACACACCTACAGCTTATGAGTTAGCGGCTACAGACAAAGCTCGACGGTCACTCAGTACAACCAGCTACTGGAGGTTAAAGCTTAATTAAGGGCCGCTTATCGGAGGGATCACTGTTGATACATCACTTGATAACCAGCAGATCTGATGATAAGTTCAACAAGACGGCAGTTTTACGCACTGAGTAAGAGGTGGGACAACTTATGCGGTTGCGACGTGGTGGGAACCGGGACAGTCTCGCAATAATGGGGCCACCTTGCAACGTTCACAGGTGATCCATTGTTTACTACCGCGGGCGTCTTTCGCGGTAAAAAACCCATCCGATGTTCTGCTCGCAGACGTCTACTCGTTGTAACTCCGGCTCTTTAATGAGGTAGGTTAGGTCGTATATCGCGACATTGTTGACAGGGCTGTGCAGTGATCGGCTCGGCATCTGCGTATGGTCTGCTGCTGCAATTAATCGCGATGATAGGAGGACTGTTTCTGAAGAAAAAAAATGGCATGGTTATGTGTCGAAGCAGGCGTCTAGCAGCCAAAACTTCACATTTTCTTACGGCGGCGTCTGCTCCTGCAGCCCATCCTTGATGCCGAGAGAGAGAGGAACAGACAGTCTATTACATGGTATTAATGTGAACAAGACTTCTGGAATGTCCTAAACCAGATTTGCGACGCCAATGTCGAACTGCCCGGTGGTTGTACGTGGATCACCACATCATGTAGTGCTCTGAAAGGCGCAGTAGTGTCATCTAGTGACTCTAAACACTGCCATAGCCTGATGCCTCTTGCCGATAACGCTCGTAATTGCCTAAGTCCGTTAGAAAAATCTCTTGAACACTTCCCAGGAGTGAGACTTATTGCCGCTCGTGAACAAGTCGATTGTGCTGGATCCAAAGCGTCGAGATACAAACGGAACACAAAATCCACCATATACGCTTCCACTGATCAACATACTCCGCCACTGTATCTGTAACGGGGTGAATCGTTGCATAACAATTTATAAGAAATTGTTAATAGAATATAACTATAAGAGTTATATTCTCAGAATATTGTCATGAGGACAAATATTCTCAGAATATTGTCATAAGGACAAATATTCTGTAGCACTTACAAGTAGTTCCTAATTGGTTGATATAGGCCATTATATCAACCAACGAAGACGCGCCACGACAGACGCACGCAATGAGTGGTGAGCAGATAGTTGATATACACATTTGTATTTAGACATAGTTAGATGAAGATAAATAGTGATTTATTGCAGACATTAACTATTATAAATACAGTTCTACTTTTTACTTTAACCAAGTACTCGCTTCTTCTTACCGTCTTCCTCTGCACGTACGAGTGTACGTGAAGTTTCGAGGCACCGCCTTATTGAGTCATCAGGAAAGGTAGCTTGTACTGTCACCAGTACAAGCTTCAGGGTGCCCCGTTGCACCTGGTAGCACTTCGTAGTCCGTCCAAGGACCACGTTCACACCTAACATGAATATGTTGGATGATGAAGATGACCAAAGCTTTCACGCTACGCGTGACGGCTACTCCCATTTGAGCGATGTCGAATGGGATGCGGTTGAACGGATGGGTTCAACCATGGGCATCCATGCTGTTAGCGTCATTCTAGAGGCTCTCAATAGCGATGCCCAACATGCTACTATCGCCAAGTTCATTCAAAATGAACTTGATGCCGAACGCGAGAAAGTAGCCTTACTTCACCAACAAGGTTCTCATCAAGCAGAGTTGTTGAGAGAACAGGGTGCTCAACAGTTTGAACTGTTGAGACAGCAGCAGGCTGCTGCTGGTGGGTCGATGCACTCGCGTCGACCCGAGACCTTGCAGATTGACATCTCCAAGTATAGGGGAGTCGAAGAGGACTCCCTCTTGAGATTCGTCGAATTGGATGACGCCATAAGGGCACGTCGCATCGACGACGGGGATATGCAAGTTGCATTTGCCCAGTCAAATTTGGCAGGACGTGCCAAGACTTGGGCACTGGGGCTCAAGTTGCACGACCCATATGCGTTTGGGTCGTTGGAAGTCTTCAAGTCGCGGCTCAGACAAACGTTTGAACCGCCTAGAGCTGAGTTCAGAGCTCGAACCGAACTCTTGAAGCTCAAGCAAGGTAAGCGTGATGTGCACGCTTACGCTCAACATATACGACATCTCACGAGTTGTATAAGTTCCAACCCGGTTAATGAACACACGTTGGTTTCGGTGTTCATGCAGATTTTTGCGGATGGTCCCGTCAAGACTCACCTGTTCCGACTTGAACTAGATTCACTAGAACAAGCCATTTCCATTGCAGAACAGGAAGACTTCAGTCTGAGACAGGCTCGCGCCAGATCGACATCATATCGTCAACCGAGACGATATGACAGCGGAGGTCCAGAGCCGATGGAACTCTGTTATGTAGAGAGCGAGAAGGCTCGCTCTACAGACTACAAGAGGTTGCAGAAATGCAACAGATGTCAAAAGACAGGACACTACGCTTACGAGTGTAGTGCCCCTCGTCAAGTGTCTCGCAACACTGGGCGTAATGACCGTCCACCCATGAGAAAGGGGCAGGGACGCGGGTCCGCTGTTGGTGCAAAGACGCAACAACGGGGTGGACCCTAAAAAAACGGACAGGAACAGTAGGTGCGGAGCACCCTACTGATCCAGCAACGTCAAGAGAATTTGTGGGTCTCTTGATGAAGGTTGCTCCCAACACACAAACATTGTGCGTTGCTGCTCTAGGTAATGAGATCTCACTCGTTACCTTGAAACTCGAAGTGACGAATAAGTTGTCCCTTCAAGCTCTAGTCGACTGTGGGGCGTCCAACAATTTTGTGCGACGCCAATCGCTAGAAGATGGTCACTTTAAGTTCAGTAGAATGTGACACACCTCCTACGAGGATGACGGTACGTCTTGCGACAGGCGCATCCGTAACCGTCATGAAGCGTATAGTGAAGATCCACTATACGCTAGAAGATACCCAATATGACGATGACTTTATCGTATTGAAATTGATGACAAATTTGATGTCATCCTTGGAATACCGTGGCTCAGAAGGTACGAACCACGAGTAAACTGGCAACATCGAACAGTAACGACGCCTGCCGCTTGTTCATCAGATGGCCATCTGATGAACGTTTTGGAGCGTCCACAAGCGTGTGCACGTACTACGAGTGAGTGCGATGGCCTCACTTGTGGTACGGTCGTTAGTACGACTGCACAAAACCTTAGTGTAACAAACAGTTACACTTCGGAGCAAGATTCTGGCGGCTGTGAGGAAACACAGGCTGCGCCGAAGGTCCACCACTCGAATAAGTCGAGTGGACCGGGACAAAGATGTATCCCTAGCGGGGAACATCTGGAAGAGAAACCATCGATCGCTCAGGTTAAGCGAAACGATAATCCTAGATCGACTGGAGAGTCTTTCGTAGAGGATCTCGCTGTGGTTGCGCAACCCCAGCTTGAGGAAGTAAAGGGAATAAGTCCCAAGATTACAAATACGGTGGAAATAAGTTCCCCGAAACCCGCGGGAATAAGCCCCCGGGAAGCCGAAGGAATAAGTCCTTCGAGGCCTGAGGGAATAAGTCCTCAGGAAATGACAGAGACATTGAATGTCTTAGTCAATAACGGATCAAGTGTAGGCGCTTATACACTTGATCTGATTGCGCCTCCGAAGTTGACTTCGGAGATCCCTCAGTTACCAACGCTCGAACATAAAAGGTTCTTGCGTGATCTGCGTAGTGGCAAAGTCAAGCAGATCTGCGTACTCGTCGCTGACGACGAGTGTGTAACCGACATAAGGTCAGCAACAGTGTTCACTGAGAACGAGATAGTTCTCAGTAGTTCATCTATGGACGAGAGTGTCCTAGATGAAAAGACACGAATTGAGCGATATGACTCCCAATCGTGGGAATCGCTCAAGACAAATCCTCTCTATGAAGATTTGGTTGAATGCAAGGATGTATTCCCTGAAACTGTTCCGTGCGAATTACCGAAGGATAAAGGTATTCGACACGAGGTCGAGCTTAAACCAGGCTCGAAGTACTGTGTCATGAAGCAGTGGCCACTGCCTCGTGAACAAGTACTTGCGATCGACAAGTTCTTTGCCGATCGTTTAGCTGCGGGCCATGTGAGGGAATCAACTTCCCCACATAGCTCTCTGACCTTCTGTGTGCGAAAAGCAACAGGAGGGTGGCGGATAGTGCACGCGTTCAACAAATTGAACGCTGCAACGGTACCGGCTCAGACGCCGATACCGAGGAAGGACGTAATCATTGATGGTATGTCAAAGAGTACCATCTTTTCGTCCATGGATTTGATGGATGGCTTCTATCAAATCCTTATGCGAGAACGGGACATACCCTATACCGCAACGAGCTCGCCTAGCGGCAGGCTCTGGGAATGGCTAGTAATGCCACAAGGGCTTAGCAATGCCCCTGCCACGTTCAACAGATGTGTATGACATCTGTTGAGACCAGTACGAGAATTCGCGCCGAGTTATTTCGATGACGTATTCATCCATATTCGGGCTATGGATTGAAAGTCGGATGTTGAGGTTCACAGGTACCACGTCCGACAGGTTCTTACAATCATGCGAAAGCATCAATTGTATGCAAACCTCAAGAAGTGTATATTTGCAGCAAGCGAAATACCACTTCTTGGGTGCATCGTTGGTAAGAACGGTGTACGTCCTGATCCCGAAAAGATCAAGGCGATCACCGACTGGCCTGTGCCGTTTGATGTCAAAGGTCTTCGCAATTTTTTTTGGGCTAGCGGCGTATTTGCATAAGTATTCACGCAATAACGCAAATATGACTGTACACCTCTCTCGTTTGTTGAAAAAGAACGAGAGGTGGTTATGGAACGCTGAATGTCAGCGCTCCTTTGATGGTACCATGCAGAGCTTGATACAATCCCCAGTCCTAGCAATGACCGATCAGGACAGGCCATTTCATGTGGTCTGTGATGCAAGCGATTTCGCAATCGGCTGTGCATTAATGCAGTACGATCTTGAAGGCGTTGAACGCGTCGTCTGCTATCAGTCACGTCAGCTGCAACCAGCTGAGCGGAGCTATCCAGTGCATGACAAGGAACTCCTTGCCATGAAGTATGCACTCGCGAAGTTCAGAGTCTATCTATTATGAGATAGACCCTTCATTGTTTACACTGACCATGCGTCATTACGCACGGCAGTAAACAGCCCGCACCTTTCACAAAGAATGGCGCGGTGGTTGTCATTCTTTGCAGAATACAACTTTACGGTCGAGTACAAACCAGGACGACTTAATGTCGTCGCTGATGCACTCTCACGTCGTCCCGACTTTGAACCAGTCGTGAAACCCAACAGTGAGACAGTCTCTGTTGCGGTTATGACGTCCTCAGTTCCATCTACAACGTTGAATGATGATGTGAGGCGGGCATACGTCCAAGATGGTGAGATTGTGAAGTTGTTGACACATCTCTCACAGCCATCTCGAGAATCGTTGAAACGATTGTCGCCTGCGTATTGATCTGTATCAGATCGATACACTACTCGCAACGGTTTACTGTATTATACAGCCGTTTCTGGTGACACACCACGTGTTGTCATTCCAGATGATACTGATCTGCGTTTGCGGATCATGTTCGGGTATCACGATGTTCCTATAGGAGGACATCGTGGCCGGTAGAAAACATATCTCACGGTGAGTCGAGACTTTTACTGGCCCCGCCAGTATCATTTTGTGCGAAAGTATGTTCGCGCATGCGAAGTCTGTCAACGAGTGAAGTCAAGTCCTTCACTGCGTGCACCTTATAACCTCTACCAGTTTCGGCAGAGTGCTGGGAATCCATCTCAATGGATTTCATCTTCGGGTTACCCAAAGACGCACGCGAGAATACGGGTATTCTTGTATTTGTTGACAGATTCAGCAAAATGGTACACCTTGCGGCTGTACCGGAGTCAATCACAGCAAGTGGCTGTGCTTGTGTCTTTATCGACACCATCTTCCGACTTCATGGGTTACCCCGTGAGCTCGTATCACAGAGATCCACGATTCACTGCTAATTTCTGGCGTTCCGTGTTCAAATCACTCGGAACGTGCTTGAAGATGTCAACATCTGATCATCCAGAGTCAGATGGTCAGACGGAACGTGCCAATCGTGTCCTTGAAGAGATACTTCGAGGATACGTACACTCCTTTAAGAGTTGGAGTGAGTTTTTGCCAATGGTAGAGTTTGCCATAAACAACTCGGTGCATGCGTCCACGACACATACACCGTATTACGTGAATGGCTAGCGCCATCCGCGTGTATCCACCTTACTAGAGTGTAGCTCTGGTTTAAGGGGGGGAGGGACTCGCGCGAGCAAAAACCGAATTGGTTCACGCTCATCACGCTCTGACGAAGAGATCATGGCGTTTGATGCCGATATCGATAACATCCATATTGAAGAAAGTGATGCCAGTGAGAGTGCGGAAGCCCTCACTGAAGAAAAGGTTGATGTTGCTGCAGTGCGCTCACAGCGTACTGAAGCTAACGAGTCATCAGATGAGTTCATACTGGCTCGTGAAACGGTAGTCCGTTTTGTGCAAGACTCCATCGCCGAAGCGGAGGATAAGCAAAAGCAAAACGCCGACAAGAATGGAAGGGCAAACACTCTTTTATTTATTAAAGGTGACTTAGTCCTACTGTCTACGGTTAATCTACCAAAGCATGTAGTGACTAACTTGGGTAGTAGTTTACTACTACCCAAGTACATCGGCCCATTTCGTGTATTGCACCGCCTAGGCAATGCATACACGATCGATTTGCCACGTAAGATGCGAACGCATCCCACGTTTTACGTTGGTCGGCTTAAGCCGTACCATCAGTACGCTGCTTCTTCCGATGAAGAACTCCCTTGCGCTCAAGCATCTCGCAGAGAGCCTTGTGCTCCCGATGGTGGGCATCGCCAAGGGTCTGAAGAGCAGTTATCTCATCCCGATACCGATCAACAATCCCACGAGCTACCCTTAGCTCGTCACGAAGAGATGTCAGAGCTCTCTCGTTCTCAAGCTGAGCAAAGGCAAACTCAGCTCGATGCTTCAAAACAGTATCCGCCAGTTGGAGACGCCTGTCCCGCTCATGTTCGAGATCATCGCGTAACCCTTGCGTTCCGCGATCAAAGAAGCTCTGGGGAACACACGCTTCCCCACGATTGTGTGGAGAGCGTCTTCCCTCCTCCTCCACCTCCATTAGAGGACTCTTAGAGGACTCTCGCGGTGGACAGCGCTATCTAGTTGAGCAGCTGTTGAACCACCGCGATGTGAACGGACGTCGGACGAGTCATCTCGTCCGGTGGCGCGGCTATCCCCCGTCCTGGGATACTTGGGAGCCCCGCTCCCAACTGATGGTTGACGTACTGGGTCTGGTTGAGCAGTACGACGCGGCACATCCTGTGCCAAAGAAGGACCGCCGGAGAAGGTCTTCCCGGCAGGGTCGTAAAGTGATTTTAGGTTGTCAATCCCTTCGTACATCTCACTAGAGATACGTACGCGCCACCACGGGCTGGTAAGGAGGTAAGCCTCCTTAGGTGCTCGTGCAGAGTTGTTCACACAACATGGGCACGAGTCATCCCATGAGAGGCAGGGTAATCCTTTCTCCCTTGACAGACGATGCAGCTTGTAGCGTGCACCTGTCGGGGTTCGCTTTTCAAACTTATCACGAGCTTTGATAAGTTTGTCGTTCCAAGCGTCACGACCTACATCCTCAAGGTTATGGATGTAGGCGTTCCACGCTTGAAGCAGTGAGGGACCATCACGTTTGTGATTCCCACTGTACCATCGATGTTTAAAGAAAGCTTCGATGAAGAAATCGTTCTCAGCGCGATAGTTTTTCGCACTGGGGTCAAGGTGATGGATCCTTGACGAATCGAACAATCGTGTTCGATAACGATCACTCGTCGTCGCCGACAAGTGATCCATGACGGATTTTGGAGGCATCCATGCCTTCTTCTCAGGAGCGAGACGCAAGACACTGCGGTCCCGCTCTTCCTGCGACGTGCCGACAGAAGTACTGGCACCTCGTTGCGAAGTGGTGTCAATAGGAGAACCGACACCACTGATAGCGCCCGAGTCTCGCGACCTCGAGCGCCTTCGCTTCGGCGATGGTTCATCTGATTCATCAGATGAACCAAAGATGCTACGACGAATAGCATCATCCATGCCACGCTTGGCAGGCGGCTTGGATTCGATCGCCGTCGATACGCATCCGTCTTCCGTATCAGGAGAGTATGAGACACCGAGCTCATACTCTGTGAAGACGTGAGTGTCTTCATGACCAGCGCCTGCATCACCTAGTGACACAGGCTGAGTCGCTTCAGCAACCGATGAGACATCAGTTGCTGTGGTTTCTGCTTCGGTGTCCGCACAGAGACGTGCGAACGCGCTCTCGGCGGCCTTGCTCGCGCATCGCATGGGCTTGTTAACCATGCGATGGGATGTTGGAAAGTGGACTCGGACCAACAAGTGCAAACCCTGTCCCAAATGATTTGGGACGAGTATCCATTTAGTCAATCAGTCACTAAAGTGACTGATGGTTAGGGGGGGGTGATGTAACGGGGTGAATCGTTACATAACAATTTATAAGAAATTGTTAGCAGAATATAACTATAAGAGTTATAGTCTCAGAATATTGTCATAAGGACAAATATTCTGCAGCACGTACGAGTAGTTCCTAATTGGTTGATATATGCCATTTATGTCAACCAACGAAGACGCGCCACGACAGACGCACGCAATGAGTGGTGAGCAGATAGTTGATATACACATTTGTATTCAGACATAGTTAGATGAAGATAAATACTGATTTATTGCAGACATTAACTATTATAAATACAGTTCTACTTTTTACTTTAACCAAGTACTCGCTTCTTCTTACCGTCTTCCTCTGCACGTACGAGTGTACGTGAAGTTCCGAGGCACCGCCTTATTCGGTCATCAGAATAAGTAGTTTGTACTGTCACCAGTACAAGCTTCAGGGTGCCCCGTTACAGTATCACCATAGGCCTGCTGCAGACGTTGTAATAGTGTCTTAGACAAAGGCGGCGGTGTCCATGCCATGCAAATTCCTGTAACGAGGTTGCCCGTTACATATTATTGACACCAAACGGTGTCAATAGGAATATTGTCTAGCTTGACAATCTCCTGCCAATATTAACCGAGATAGATAATATTGAAGGAATTATATCCCCTTTTGAAAAGTATTCATGCGCTGCTCTAAGATTGGTTGATATAAGACATATCAACCATAGATTGCCATTAATCGCTGCTAGACGCGCGCAATGAGTGGTGAGCAGGTTGTCGTCATACGACGACGTAGTTTTATATAGTCATATAAAGACTGAAGTTACATTGATAGCTTGACTATATTTTATACAAGTCTCTTTTTACCTTTACTTAAACTATTAGTCAAAGCAGAGTTACCTTCGTCTGCACGTACTAGCGTACGTGAAGTTTCGTGGCACCCAAGCAAAGGGTGCTCCATTATACCTGGTAGCACGTTGTAGTCCGTACAACGACTGCTTCGTTTCCGTCCAACATGAACATCTTGGACGTAAAAGACGACGGCTTTCACGTCACATGTGAAGGCTACTCCCATCTGATTGACTTTGAAGTGGACATAGTCGGCCGCATGAGTGCGCTCATGGGCGAACCCTCCATCAGCGGCATGTTGGAGTCTCCAAACAGAGACGAAAAACATGCCGCTAATAGCATTTTTTACAAAGGGAACTTGCTGACGAAAGACATATGATAGCCTTGCTGCAAAAAAAAACATCAAGGCTCTCATCAGTCGATGGGTGGGCCGACGCACATGCGTCGACCCGAATCTTGTAGATAGATATCTTAAGATATACGGAAACCGATGAAGAATCCACTTTGAGATGGTTCGTCTAGTTAGACGATGCCTTCAGGGCGCGTCACATCGAGGGTGACGAGATGCAAGTCACCTTCGCCCTGTCAAATTTGACGGGACGAGCAAAGACTTGGGCCTTAGGGCTCACGCTTCACGAACCAAACGTGTTTGAGTCATTAGAGATCTATTATTCTCGGCTTAAAGAGACGTTTGAGCCACCGAGAGACGAGTTCAGAGCACGCTCTGCACTCTTGAGGCTCAAGCAAGGTAAGCGACGTGCACTCTTACGCACAGCACCTGCGCTACCTTGCGAGTAGCGTCACGAAAAACCCTGTTGATGAGCACACGCTCATCAACGTGTACATCTACGGCCTTGTGAATGGGCTGATGAAGACCTACATGTTCCGAGAGGACTTTCATACGCTGGAAAAAGCGATAGCGTATGTGAAACAAGAAGACTTCAGCCTGAGACAGTCTCAGGCTAACTCGTCAAACTATCGTCCGACGAGACGACAGGAAATAGGAGGTCCCAAACCAATGGACTTCTGTTACATCGAGAGCGAAAACTCTCGCTCTCTGAGTCACAAGCGAACGGCAAGATGCCATCGTTGTCAGAAGATCGGACACTACGCTCATGAGTGTAGCGTCTCGAGCACCGCATCGCGTTTAAAGACATGACTTGATAACGACCGTTGGCCAAGTAAAGGTCCGAGGCGTGGGTCCGACCATGTCGCTAAGCCGCGACAGCAAGTCGGACCGTCAAAAAACGGTCAGGGTCAGTAGAGGCGGAGCACCCTGCTACATCAGCAACGCCAAGAAAATTTGCAGGACTCTTGACGAAGATTGCTCCCAACACACAGTTGCTGTGTGTTACTGCCCCTATTGATGAGGAGTCTCTCATCACTTTGACGATCGAAGTGAAAAGTGGAATGTCACTTCGCGCCCTAGCTGACTGTAGGGCGTCGAACAGTTTTATTCGACGCCAGTCGCTAGAGGATAGTAGACTCAACTATGCTGAGCGAAAGTTCCCTCCAACGAGGATGAAGGTGTGCCTTGCTACAGGCACATCCGTAACAGTGAACAAACGTGTAGTGGGGATCCGCTACACGCTAGAAGGAAAGCAGTACGATGATTACTTTATCGTATTGAAATTGATGACAAATTTGATGTCATCCTTGGAATACCGTGGCTTAGAAAGTATTGGTCATAGGTTAGCTGGCAGCATCGATCCGTGAAGATGCCTGCCGTTTGTTCATCGGATGGCCATCTGATGAACGTCTTGGAGCGTCCACAAGCGTGTGGATGTACTACGAGTGAGGATGGCCTCACTTGTAATACGGTCGTTAGTAAGATCGCACAAGATCACATTGTAGAAGGCCACTACACTGTGGAACCAGCTTACGGCGTCTGTGTAGAGACACAGGTTGCGCCGAAGGTTTACCACTCGAAGAGATCGAGTGGACTGGAACACGGATGCACACCAAGAAAAGTGCATCCTAGAAGAGATATAAGTGTTGTTAAGGATGAAGAACACGTTGGAGCAAGATCGACTATCAGAGAGTCGATCGTAGAGCAAGCCCGATCGAATAAAAGAGATTCGATCGAAGAGGATGTGACCGTGGTAGTACACACACAGTCAGTACACGTAATGGGAGAAAAATTCCAGCGTTCCTGAGAGTGATAACTTCCGAGAGAGTTATGTTGAGGGTGTGGACCCCCACCACCTGCGGATGTGTTTTCCTAGGTAATCACCGGAAAATTGAGTGCCTTGGTGAATGACGGATCAATTGTAGGCGCTTATACACTTGATCTAATTACACCTCCGAAGTCAGCTTCGAGGGTAATTAAGTTGCCAACGTTGGAATCTAAAAGATCCTTGCGAGATCTGAGTAATGACAGTATCAAGCAGATGCGTACTCGTAACAGAGGACGAGTATGTCGCCGATTTACGGTCGGTACAAGTGTTTACTGAGAACGAACGGGTTCTCAGTGGCTAATCTATGGACGAGAGTGTCTTCGATGAGAAGACCCGTATTGAGCGATACACGTCTCAATCTTGGGGGTCTTTGAAGAAAAATTCCTAGTATGAGGATTTGGTCGAATTCAGGGATGTTTCCCTGGATCCGTGCCATGTGAGTTGCCTAAGGATAAAGGCGCTCGACGTGAGATCGAAATGGGAACCGGTTCGAATTACGATGTCATGAAGCAGTGACCACTGCCTTGTAAACAGGTCACAGCGGTCGACCAATTCTTTGCCGATCGCTTAGCTGCGGGCCACGTGAGGTAATCAACATCCCCACAGAGCTCTTCCACGTTATGTGTGCGAAAAGCAACAGGAGGGTGAAAGATATTACACGCGTCCAACAGTTTATACGCTGCAACGGTACCGTCTCAGACGCCGATACCGAAAAAAGAACGTCATCATTGATGGCAAAAGTACCATCTTTTCGTCCATGGATTTGATGAATGGATTCTATCAGATCCTCATGCGTGAACGGGACATCCCTTACACAGCAGTGAGCACCCCCAGTGGTATGCTCTGGGAGTGTCTAGTGATGCCACAGGAGCTAAGTAACGCCTTTGAAACATTCAACAGATGTGATACGAATCTGTTGCGATCGGTGCGCGATTTCGCACCGAGTTACTTTGACGATGGCTTCGTCCATAGCCGGGCTATGAATGGAAAGACGGACGTTGAGGTTTATAGAGCCCACGTCCGGAAGGTTCTTACACTCATGCGTGCGCATAAGTTGCTTGCGAACCTCAAAGAAGTGTACATTCGCAGCGAGCGAAATACCACTTCTTGGCTGCATCGTGGGTACAAAAGGCGTACGACCTGATCCAAAAAAGATCAAGGCGATCAGCGACTGGCCTGTGCCAGTCGACGTCAAGGCACTTCGCTAGTTCCTTGGCTTGGCGGTGTACTTGCAAAAATACTCGCGCAACTATGCCGAGATGACCGTACATCTATCTCGTCTACTAAAGAAAAACGAGAGGTGGTCATGGAGTGCTGAGCGTCAGCACTCTTTTGAAGGCATTAAAATAAGCTTGGTGCAATCGCCTGTGTTGGCGATTGCAGACCAGGATAGACCATTTCATGTGGTCTGTGACGCCAGCGATTTTGCAATCGGCTGCGCGTTAGTGCAGTACGACTCAGACGGAGTTGAGCGCGTCGTCTTTTATCAATCGCGTCAGCTGCATGCAGATGAGCGAAATTATCCGGTACATGACAAGAAACTTCTTGCCATCAAATATGCACTGGCCAAGTTTCGGGCACATGTCTTAGGAAATAGGCCCTTCATCGTTTACACCGACCACACGTCGTTACGCGCGGCCTTAAACAGTCCACACCTCTCGCAACGAATGGCGAGGTGGCTGTCTTGCTTCGCGGAGTACAACTTCTCCGTAGAGTATGAACTAGGACGACTTAATGCCGTCGCTGATGCTCTTCCGCGTCTGTTTGATTTAGAGCCGACTGCTCAACCCAACAGTGGGGGTGATCCCACTGTAGTGACACTATCTGTGAGTGTTCCGTCGTCTAATCTGCTCGAGGACTTGCGGAAACATACGCAGAAGATGAGTCTCTTCTACGGTTGATGGGTCATGTATCCAATCCGTGCAGTCAAGCTTTGAAAAGCTTGTCGTCTCAATACCGCTCTTCAACCAAAGGTATTCGGTTCGTGCTGGACTTCTGTACTATACAGCAGTCAACGGCGACACACCTCGTGTTGTCTTTCCCGCTCATGATGATTTTCGATTGCGCATCATGTATGAGTGTCACGATGCCCCACCAAGAGGGCATCGCGGTAGAGAAAAGACTTACCTCACAGTAAGTCGTGACTTCTACTGTCCCCGACAGTGTGAGTTTGTGCGCAAAAACATTCGCGCTTGCGAAGTTTGTCAACGAGCAAGGTCTAGTCCTTCATCCTGTGCACCCTTACAGACTCTACCGATTCCGGCAGAGTGTTGGCAGTCCGTATCGATGGACTTCGTCTTTAGGTTTCCCAAAGAAGCTTACAAGAATACCGGTATTCTTGTGCTTATTGATTAATTCAGCAAGATGATACATCTTGTTGCTGTACCAGAGTCAATCACAGCACAGGGCTGTGCGCGTGTCTTCATCAATACTATCTTCCGACTACACGGGTCACCCCGTGAACTCGTGTATGATACGGACCCCGCTATACGGCGGAGTTCTGGCAATCCGTGTTCCGTTCACTTGGAACACGTTTAACGATGTCAACTTCTGACCATCCGGAAACACATGGTCAAATGGAACGCGTCAACCGCGTCCTTAAAGAGATACTTTGAGGGTATGTCCACTCATTAACGAGCTGTAGTGATTTCTTGCCGATGGCGGAATTCGCCATCAACAACCCGGTGCACGCGTCGACAACGCATACGCCATTCTTCGTGAATGGCCTACGCCATCCACGTTTACCCAAATTCATAGGGTGTGACTCTAGTTTAGTGAGGGGGGCTCGCTCGAACAAAACCGATCTGGTTCTTGCTCATAGCCGTCGACAATGGTGTCGACGTGATGGATACCGATGTCGATCGCCTCGACATCGATGATGATGATGACGACAATGCTGGTATATTCAGCATCGCCAACGACTTCCAAACGATGACACCCTCGCTGGTGAAGACAACGTTCTTTCAGCAGTGCATACAAAGCGCACTGCTGTTGACAAGGATAAATCAGCAGAAGAATTTCTGCTGACCCGCGAAGCGGACAACCGCTAGCAGTGCATACGAAGCGCACTGCTATTAACAAGAACAAATCAGCAGAAAAATTTATGCTGACCCGCGAAGCGGTTGTCCTGTTCGTTCAAGACTCTATTGCAGATGCACTAGACAGACAGAAGAGAAACGCAGACACACATGGAAGAGAATATGTTCTGTCATTTGATAAAGAAGACCTAATTTTACTATCTACAGTAAATCTACCGAAACACGCAGTGACAACGTGGGCAGCAGAAAATTACTGCCCAAGTATATCAATCCATTTCGTGTGATGCGCCGGATTGGAAAGGCATACACGATTGAACTGCCTTGTAGGATGCGTAGGCACCCTACGTTTTACATTGGACGTCTCCTCCCGTACTATCAGTATGAGCCCGTTTCGAGAGGCGAAAACACCTCCGCGGTCGAGAGCCGAGACCACCTTCGAGTGTTCCCGTTTCCACGAGCCATTCTGGTCGACTATCGAAGAGACCTGTTCACGCAGTTCAGTGATGTCTCGACGAGCTACAGCCATCTCATTACGAAGAGAACGAGTCGAACGTTCGTTCTCAAGTTGCGCGAACGCAAACGCGGCACGGCTGTCCGAACGATCGTGCGTTAGAGAATTGTAATTATCCCTTACAAGATCCTCAAGCCAACACGCCGAGTGTGTTCGTGAGTCAGGTCATCTTGCAGCTGTTCCGGTACACGGTTCATCTCTTTAACACCAAGCTGATCCGATCCTCGAGCCGGATCAGGTGTTCCCGCCGCCACAACATCCTTTGGTGGACTCAAGCGGTGGTCAACGATTCCAAGTGGGGCGTATTTTGAACCACCGCGATGTGAATGGCGTCCGGACGAGTAACCTCGTCCGCTGGCGTGGCTATCCACCGGCGTGGGACAGCTGGGAGCCTCGTGCCCAGATGATCGTTGATGTCCTTGGTCTCGTCGAGCAATACGACGAGACCCACCCGCTGCATTCGAAGAAGGGCCGTCGGAAAAAGACCTCCCCGAGCGAGAGTACAGGGATTGCAAAGTGTCAATCCCTTCGGCCATCTCGGAAGAGATGCGCGCCCTCCAGTAGGGATAATTAATGAGGAAGGCCTCCCTAGGGGCACGATTCGAGTTGTCCAGGCAACCTGGACACAAATCACCCCGCGAGAGACAGGATATTCCTGCCTCTCTTGAAAGCCGGTGCAACTTGTATCGCACCCCGGCTGGGTTACATTTCATAAATCTGATGCGAGCTGCATCAAGTTTGACGATCCAGGCCTCACGGCCAATACACTCGATGTTGTGGATGAGGGCATTCCATCCTTGCACCAAGGCCTATCCGTCTTGAACACGGCTACCATCTTACAACCGGTGTTAGAAAAACGCATCGGTGAAGAATTCTTCCTCAGCACGAATAGTTTCCGTACTGGAATCAGATGGGCAAATCTTCCTACAATCGAACAACGGGATTCGATCCCGTTCGGTAGTCACGCCGGCCAATCGGTCCAACTCTCTGGATGTCGGCATCCACGAAAACTCCACTTGGGGAGCGTGGCGCAGGACATTTCGGTCCCTGGCCTTGTGGTGGGGTGGCGATCGCTCATTTTCTGAGACGATCCCAAATCTCCACTGGCGCCAGGACGACCGACTAACGGAGGGGGTACCCCGATTCCGTGTTCTGTAAGTTCCTGCTCACCTTGTGTACCCGTCGGTGGGGCGGGTTGCGCTCTTCTTGGTGTACTTGAGCTGAAGCTGAACTTGACCGTCTTAGGGATAGGTGTTGATTGAGTGGAAATACTTCACCCGGTCAACGTAGGTGCGAATCGCGTGGAAATTCTTTACTTGATCGCTTGTAACTTGGGCGCTCTCCTAGAGTCGCCTTTGCCAAGGGTGATGCTTGATACGCGAGCCTTCTGACCACTTGAGCCGTATCGCGATCTTGAATCTGAACCGTAAAGTTCACTGCGTCCTATCGCAGTTGAGGGGGAGGGAGAATCGACCTTCCGCCTGACCAAACAATCCAAGGGCGAAGTTCACTTGAGACGTGGGTGACTCTCTATTCAACGGGAGGCCAAAGATCCTGCCCGGGAGAAGTCGACGCGTGTCTTTCGTTGCAAATTCAATTTTGTTTAATGTCAAGAAACCAAACCTAAAACTTATGACGATGCCTATACGTTCGCTAGGTCGACTATATATGTCATTCACCGCTTACATCCTGTGATACACAGCAGATAATCCATAGTGGATCGCCTCATTACGTATCACGGAGTTCGGGATCGCAAAGTACCGGATATCGGAGCACCGGGTCGCGGTATGCGATCCACGGCGGGTACGTAATCTACCTCGATCATCATGACACACTCCGCTTGACCTTTACCCCTTCGTGACCGTTAAGTGGGTTACTCTGCATAATTTCCACAGTCATTTCCTGTCACTCAGCCGTGTGACACCATCATCCGTGCCCACGGCCCCATCTCCGTACGCGCTCCACCAATCAAACTAATTTTCGTACTTAAGGCAGATCGCGCGATCCACACTTCCGTCATTCTCCCTTCGCCCTTCTCCACAGCCTCTTAGTTGGTGGGAGCGTGAGCGCTGACGCCACTGACACCCCGATATCTTGAATTGCTTCACTCGTGGTGATGTGTAGGTGCATCACCACCATCCCCACGCGTTCTCTCGTTGGATGGACTTGCGCGAGGCGGAGATTCATCGGAATAATCACTCGATATGAAGATCTCGGACATGACACCGCCGCGTTGACCAGATCCAGTCAACCTAGTTTTTGCATTGTTCGCCCCGGGTGATCCGTAGGCGTGAGGAGTCACCTTCGGGTCGGATGCATCATCCGCCTTCCAAAAATAGATGAGCTCTATCTCAGACTCGCCTTGATTACGACTCGAGGTACCCGCTGCAGACGCAGCGGATGTACCTGTCGCATGTGGTGAGTCACCACGTGGACCATTCACAACAACAGGCGATGAATCACCTGCTGCTGAGATCTGAGAGGCGCTTTCCGCGGCTGCACGCATGCGTGCAGCCGCCCTTCTTACTGCTGCAGAAGCAACTCGCATGGGTTTCGAAACCATGCGTTGGATTGGCAAATGAATGGAATTTGACTAGCAAGTGCTCCCTTTTCCAGAGTGATCCAACGGTGGTCACCCTGTCTTGATCAATCCTAATTCAATCAGCGGGTGATTGATGGTTAAGGTGGAGGGGGGGGTGATGTAACGGGGTAACCCTTTACGTGAAATTGACACCGAACGTTGTCAATAGGAATATTGTCTAGCGTGACAATATTCTACCAATATTATCTGAGATAGATAATATTGAAGGAATTATATACCATATTAGGTAAACATCTAAGCGCTGTTTCAAGATTGGTTGATATTAGACATGTGTAACGGGGTGAATCGTTACATAACAATTTATAAGAAATTGTTAATAGAATATAACTATAAGAGTTATATTCTCAGAATATTGTCATAAGGACAATATTCTGTAGCACTTCCAAGTAGTTCCTAATTGGTTGATATAGGCCATTATATCAACCAACGAAGACGCGCCACGACAGACGCACGCAATGAGTGGTGAGCAGATAACTGATTTACACATTTGTATTTAGACATAGTTAGATGAAGATAAATAGTGATTTATTGCAGACATTAACTATTATAAATACAGTTCTACTTTTTACTCTAACCGAGTACTCGCTTCTTCTTACCGTCTTCCTCTGCACGTACGAGTGTACGTGAAGTTACGAGGCACCGCCTTATTCTGTTATCAGAATAAGTAGCTTGTACTGTCACCAGTACAAGCTTCAGGGTGCCCCGTTACACCTGGTAGCACTTCGTAGTCCGTCCAAGGACCGCGTTCACATCCAACATGAATATGTTGGATGATGAAGATGACCAAAGCTTTCACGCTACGCGTGACGGCTACTCCCATTTGAGCGATGTCGAATGGGATGCGGTTGAACGAATGGGTTCGACCATGGGCATCCATGCTGTTAGCGTCATGCTAGAGGCTCTCAATAGAGATGCCCAACATGCTACTATCGCCAAGTTCATTCAAAATGAACTTGACGCAGAACGCGAGAAAGTAGCCTTGCTTCACCAACAAGGTTCTCAACAAGCAGAGTTGTTGAGAGAACAAGGTGCTCAACAGTTTGAACTGTTGAGACAGCAGCAGGCTGCTGCTGGCGGGTCGATGCACTCGCGTCGGCCCGAGACTTTGAAGATTGACATCTCAAAGTATAGGGGGTCGAAGAAGACTCCCTCTTGAGATGGTTCGTCGAATTGGATGACGCCATAAGGGCGCGTCGCATCGACGACGGGGATATGCAAGTTGCATTTGCCCAGTCAAATCTGGCAGGACGTGCCAAGACTTGGGCACTGGGGCTCAAGCTGCACGACCCATACGCGTTTGGGTCGTTGGAAGTCTTCAAGTCGCGGCTCAGACAAACGTTTGAACCGCCTAGAGCTGAGTTCAGAGCTCGAACCGAACTCTTGAAGCTCAAGCAGGGTAAGCGTGATGTGCACGCTTACGCTCAACATATACGACATCTCACGAGTTGTATAAGTTCCAATCCGGTGGATGAACACACGTTGGTTTCGGTGTTCATGCAGGGTCTTGCGGATGGTCCCGTCAAGACTCACCTGTTCCGGCTTGAACTAGATTCACTAGAACAAGCCATTTCAATTGCGGAGCAGGAAGACTTCAGTCTGAGACAGGCTCGCGCCAGCTCGACATCATATCGTCAACCGAGACGATATGACAACGGAGGTCCAGAGCCGATGGAACTCTGTTATGTAGAGAGCGAGAAGGCTCGCTCTACAGGCTACAAGAAGTTGCAGAGATGCAACAGATGTCAAAAGACAGGACACTACGCTTACGAGTGTAGTGCCCCTCGTCCAGTGTCTCGCGACACTGGGCGTAGTGACCGTCCACCCATGAGAAAGGGGCAGGGACGAGGGTCCGCAGTTGGTGCAAAGACGCAACAACGGGATGGACCGTCAAAAAACGGACAGGATCAGTAGGTGCGGAGCACCCTACTGATCCAGCAACGTCAAGAGAATTTGTAGGCCTCTTGATGAAGGTTGCTCCCAACACACAGACATTGTGCGTTGCTGCTCTAGGTAATGAGATCTCACTCATTACCTTGAAACTCGAAGTGACGAATAAGTTGTCCCTTCGAGCTCTAGTCGATTGTGGGGCGTCCAACAATTTTGTGCGACGCCAATCGCTAGAAGATGGTCACTTTAAATTCAGTGAATGTGACACACCTCCTACGAGGATGACGGTACGTCTTGCGACAGGCGCATCCGTAACCGTCATGAAGCGTATAGTGAAGATTCACTATACGCTAGAAGATACCCAATATGACGATGACTTTATCGTATTGGATTTGGATGACAAATTTGATGTCATCCTTGGAATACCGTGGCTCAGAAGGTACGAACCACGGGTAAACTGGCAACATCGGACAGTAACGATGCCTGCCGCTTGTTCATCAGATGGCCATCTGATGAACGTTTTGGAGCGTCCACAAGCGTGTGGATGTACTACGAGTGAGTGCGATGGCCTCACTTGTGGTACGGTCGTTAGTACGACTGCACAAAACCTTAGTGTACCAAACGGTTACACTTCGGAGCAAAGTTCCGGCGGCTGTGAGGAAACACAGGCTGCGCCGAAGGTCCACCACTCGAATAAGTCGGGTGGACTGGGACAAAGATGTATCCCTAGAGGGGAACATCTAGAAGAGAAACAATCGATCGCTCAGGTTAAGCGAAACGATAATCCTAGATCGACTGGAGAGTCTTTCGTAGAGGATCTCGCTGTGGTTGCGCAACCCCAGCTAGAGGAAGTAAAGGGAATAAGTCCCAAGATTACAAATACGGCGGAAATAAGTTCCCCGAAACCCGCGGGAATAAGTCCCCGGGAAGACGAAGGAATAAGTCCTTCGAAGCCTGAGGGAATAAGTCCCCAGGAAATGACAGAGACATTGAATGTCATAGTCAATAACGGATCAAGTGTAGGCGCTTATACACTTGATCTGATTGCGCCTCCGAAGTTAACTTCGGAGATCACTCAGTTGCCAACGCTCGAACATAAAAGGTTCTTGCGTGATCTGCGTAGTGGCAAAGTCAAGCAGATCTGCGTACTCGTCGCTGACGACGAGTATGTAACCGACATAAGGTCAGCAACAGTGTTTACTGAGAACGAGAGAGTTCTCAGTAGTTCATCTATGGACGAGAGTGTCCTAGATGAAAAGACACGAATTGAGCGATATGAGTCCCAATCATGGGAATCGCTCAAGGAAAACCCTCTCTATGAGGATTTGGTTGAATGCAAGGATGTATTCCCTGAAACTGTTCCGTGCGAATTACCGAAGGATAAAGGTATTCGACACGAAGTCGAGCTTAAACCAGGCTCGAAGTACTGTGTCATGAAGCAGTGGCCACTGCCTCGTGAACAAGTACTTGCGATCGACAAGTTCTTTGCCGATCGTTTAGCAGCGAGGCCATGTGAGGGGAATCAACTTCCCCACATAGCTCTCCGACCTTCTGTGTGCGAAAAGCAACAGGAGGGTGGCGGATAGTGCACGCGTTTAACAAATTGAACGCTGCAACGGTACCGGCTCAGACGCCGATACCGAGGAAGGACGTAATCATTGATGGTATGTCAAAGAGTACCATCTTTTCGTCCATGGATTTGATGGATGGCTTCTATCAAATCCTAATGCGGAACAGGATATACCCTATACCGCAGTTAGCACGCCTAGCGGCATGCTCTGGGAATGGCTAGTAATGCCACAAGGGCTCAGTAATGCCCCTGCCACGTTCAACAGGTGTGTATCACATCTGTTGAGGCCAGTACGAGAATTCGCGCCGAGTTATTTCGATGACGTATTCATCCATAGTCGAGCTATGGATGGAAAGTCGGACGTTGAGGTTCACAAGTACCACGTCCGACAGGTTCTTACAATCATGCGAAAGCATCAATTGTATGCAAACCTCAAGAAGTGTATATTTGCAGCAAGCGAAATACCACTTCTTGGGTGCATCGTTGGTAAGAACGGTGTACGTCCTGATCCCGAAAAGATCAAGGCGATCACCGACTGGCCTGTGCCGGTCGATGTCAAAGGTCTTCGAAAATTCCTTGGGCTAGCGGCGTATTTGCATAAGTATTCACGCAATTACGCCGAGATGACTGTGCACCTCTCTCGTTTGTTGAAAAAGAACGAGAGGTGGTTATGGAACGCTGAATGTCAACGCTCCTTTGAGGGTATCAAGCAGAGCTTGATACAATCCCCAGTCCTAGCAATAGCCGATCAGGACAGGCCATTTCATGTGGTCTGTGATGCCAGCGATTTCGCAATCGGCTGTGCATTAATGCAGTACGACCTTGAAGGCGTTGAACGCGTCGTCTGCTATCAGTCGCGTCAGCTGCAACCAGCTGAGCGGAACTATCCAGTGCATGACAAGGAACTCCTTGCCATGAAGTATGCACTAGCGAAGTTCAGAGTCTATCTATTAGGAGATAGACCCTTCGTTGTTTACACTGACCATGCGTCCTTACGCACGGCAGTGAACAGCCCGCACCTTTCACAACGAATGGCGCGGTGGTTGTCATTCTTTGCAGAATACAACTTTACGGTCGAGTACAAACCAGGACGACTTAATGTCGTCGCTGATGCACTCTCACGTCGTCCCGACCTTGAAACAGTCGCGAAACCCAACAGCGAGACAGTCACTGTTGCGGTTATGACGTCCTCAGTTCCATCTACAACGTTGTATGATGATGTGAGGCGGGCATACGCCCAAGATGGTGAGATAGTGAAGTTGTTGTCACATCTCTCCCAACCATCTCGAGAATCGTTGAAACGATTGTCGTCTGCGTATCGATCTGCATCAGATCGATACACTACTCGTAACGGTTTACTGTACTATACAGCCGTTTCTGGTGACACACCACGTGTTGTCATTCCAGGTGATACTGATCTGCGTTTGCGGATCATGTTCAGTATCACGATGCTCCTATAGGAGGACATCGTGGCCGAGAGAAAACATATCTCACGGTAAGTCGAGACTTTTACTGGCCCCGCCAGTATCAGTTTGTGCGAAAGTATGTTCGCGCATGCGAAGTCTGCCAACGAGTGAAGTCAAGTCCTTCACTGCGTGCACCTTTACAGCCTCTACCGGTTCCGGCTGAGTGCTGGGAATCCATCTCAATGGATTTCGTCTTCGGGTTACCCAAAGACGCACGCGAGAATACGGGTATTCTCGTATTTGTTGACAGACTCAGCAAAATGGTACACCTTGTGGCTGTACCAGAGACAATCACGGCAAGTGGCTGTGCTTGTGTCTTTATTGACACCATCTTCCGACTTCATGGGTTGCCCCGTGAACTCGTATCAGACAGAGATCCACGATTCACTGCTGATTTCTGGCGTTCCGTGTTCAAATCACTCGGAACGCGCTTGAAGATGTCAACATCTGATCATCCAGAGTCAGATGGTCAGACGGAACGTGCCAATCGTGTCCTTGAAGAGATACTTCGAGGATACGTACACTCCTTTAAGAGTTGGAGTGAGTTTTTGCCGATGGTAGAGTTTGCCATCAACAACTCGGTGCATGCGTCCACGACACACACACCGTTTTACGTGAATGGCTTGCGCCATCCGCGTGTACCCACCTTACTAGAGTGTAGCTCTGGTTTAAGGGGGGGAGGGACTCGCGCGAGCAAAAACCGATTTGGTTCACGCTCATCACGCTCTGACGAAGAGGTCATTGCGTTTGATGCCGATATCGATAACATCGATATCGAAGAAGATGATGCCAGTGAGAGTGCGGAAGCCCTCACTGAAGACAATGATGCCAGTGAGAGTGCGGAAGCCCTCACTGAAGAAAAGGTTGTTGTTGCTGCAGTGCGCTCACAGCACACTGAAGCTAACGAGTCATCAGATGAGTTCATACTGGCTCGTGAAACGGTAGTCCGTTTTGTGCAAGACTCCATCGCCGAAGCGGTGGATAAGCAAAAGCAAAACGCTGACAAGAATGGAAGGGCAAACACTCTTTTATTTAATAAAGGTGACTTAGTCCTACTGTCTACGGTTAATCTACCAAAACATGTAGTGACTAACTTGGGTAGCAGTAAACTACTACCCAAGTACATTGGCCCATTTCGTGTATTGCACCGCCTAGGCAATGCATACACGATCGAGTTACCACGTAAGATGCGAACGCATCCCACGTTTTACGTTGGTCGGCTTAAGCCGTACCATCAGTACGCTGCTTCTTCCGATGAAGAACGCCCTTGCGCTCAAGCATCTCGCAGAGAGCCTTGTGCTCCCGATGGTGGGCATCAACAAGGGTCTGAAGAGCAGTTATCTCAGCCCGAGACCGATCAACAATCCCACGAGCTACCCTTAGCTCGTCACGAAGAGATGTCAGAGATCTCTCGTTCTCAAGCTGAGCAAAGGCAAACTCAGCTCGATGCTTCGAGGCAGTGTCCACCATCTGGAGACGCCTATTCCGCTCATGCTCGAGATCGTCGCGTAACCCTTGCGTTACGCGATCAAAGAAGCTCTCGGGAACACACCGATCCACATGATCGTGTGGAGAGCGTCTTTCCTCCTCCTCCACCTCCATTAGAGGACTCTCGCGGTGGCCAGCGCTATCTAGTTGAGCAGCTGTTGAACCACCGCGACGTGAACGGACGTCGGACGAGTTACCTCGTCCGGTGGCGCGGCTATCCCCCGTCCTGGGATTCTTGGGAGCCCCGCTCCCAATTAATGGTTGACGTACTGGGTCTGGTCGAGCAGTACGACGCGGCACATCCTGTGCCGCAGAAGGACCGCCGGAGAAAGTCTTCCCGGCACGGTCGTAAAGGGATTTCAGGTTGTCAATCCCTTCGTACATCTCAGTAGAGACACGTACGCGCCACCACGGGCTGGTAAGGAGGTAAGCCTCCTTAGGTGCTCGTGCAGAGTTGTTCACACAACATGGGCACGAGTCTCCCCAAGAGAGGCAGGGTAATCCTTTCTCCCTTGACAGACGATGCAGCTTGTAGCGTGCACCTGTCGGGGTTCGCTTTTCAAACTTATCACGAGCTTTGATAAGTTTGTCGTTCCAAGCGTCACGACCTACATCCTCGAGGTTATGGATGTAGGCGTTCCACGCCTGAAGTAGTGAGGGACCATCACGTTTGTGATTCCCACTGTACCATCGATGTCTGAAGAAAGCATCGATGAAGAACTCATGTTCAGCGCGATAGTCTTTCGCGCTGGGGTCAAGTGATGGATCCTTGACGAATCGAACAATCGTGTTCGATAACGATCACTCGTCGTCGCCGACAAGTGATCCATGACAGATTTTGGAGGCATCCATGCCTTCTTTTCTGGAGCGAGACGCAACACATTGCGGTCCCGCTCTTGCTGCGACGTGCCGACAGAAGTACTGGCACCTCGCTGTGAAGTGGTGTCCATTGGAGAACCGACACCACTATTAGCGCCCGAGTCTCGCGACCTCGAGCGCCTTCGCTTCGGCGATGGTTCATCTGACTCATCAGATGAACCAAAGATGCTGCGACGCAAAGCATCGTCCATGCCACGCTTGGCAGGCGGCTTGGATTCAATTGCCGTCGATATGGATGCGTCATCCGTATCAGGAGAGTACGAGACACCGAGCTCGTACTCTGTGAAGACACGAGTGTCTTCATGACCAGCGCTTGCATCACCAGGTGATACAGGCTGAGTCGATTCAGCAACCGATGGGATATCAGTTGCTGTAGTTTCTGCTTCGGCGTCCGCACAGAGACGTGCAGACGCGCTCTCGGCGGCCTTGCTCGCGCATCGCATGGGCTTGTTTACCATGCGATGAGATGTTGGAAAGTGGACGCGGACCAACAAGTGCAAACCCCGTCCCAAATGATTTGGGACGAGTATCCATTTAGTCAATCAGTCACTAAAGTGACTGATGGTTAAGGGGGGGTGATGTAACGGGGTGAATCGTTACATAACAATTTATAAGAAATTGTTAATAGAATATAACTATAAGAGTTATATTCTCAGAATATTGTCATAAGGACAATATTCTGTAGCACTTCAAGTAGTTCCTAATTGGTTGATATAGGCCATTATATCAACCAACGAAGACGCGCCACGACAGACGCACGCAATGAGTGGTGAGCAGATAACTGATTTACACATTTGTATTTAGACATAGTTAGATGAAGATAAATAGTGATTTATTGCAGACATTAACTATTATAAATACAGTTCTACTTTTTACTCTAACCGAGTACTCGCTTCTTCTTACCGTCTTCCTCTGCACGTACGAGTGTACGTGAAGTTACGAGGCACCGCCTTATTCTGTTATCAGAATAAGTAGCTTGTACTGTCACCAGTACAAGCTTCAGGGTGCCCCGTTACAACATGTCAACCATCGATTGCCACCAATCGCTGCTAGACGCGCGCAATGAGTGATGAGCAGGTTGTCGTCATACGACAACGTAGTTTAATATAGTCAGATAAAGACTGAAGTTACATTGATAGCTTGACTATATTTTATACAAGTCTCTTTTTACCTTTACTTAAACTATTAGTCAAAGCAGAGTTACCTTCGTCTGCACGTACTAGTGTACGTGAAGTTTCATGGCACCAAGACAAAGGGTGCCCCGTTGCATCAGTTTAGGCAAAAAATGCTTGGACAAGTTCTTCTGTACCACAGTATCTCAGGGATTGATCGTTGCTTTTCTTCTTACTGACCAATCAGAGCATTGTAAGTGTGAGAGGGGCGGACAGTCATTGCAGGGGGGTGAACAGTTATTGCGAGAGGATGAATGCTTAACGTCTCCCTATTCTTATCAATTATATTTTACATAAATATTAATCGCATAATGTCTATTTAAATCTACGATCGCGATTGCTGAAATACATATATTAATTTATGGAAGACATAGGCCCAGTGAAAGAAAAGGATGAAGCTTCTTCCCGGTTCTTTAACTTTATATTAGTTTACTTTTGACAATCAAACGAGTGATGAACGTGGTGACGCCTGCTCAGCTTGAGGCCAAGATCCGCCAGGAGATCGGCGCCGCTCTGGTGGAAGCCGTGGATTTGTCCGACGGATGCGGCAGCAAATTCAGCCTCATGGTCGTGCATGAAGGTTTCGAAGGTTTGTAGCACTTGGTCCCGAGTGGTATAAAGTCAGCACTAATACAATGTAACGCGTAGGCCAATCGCTGCTGGAGCGCCAGCGTCGGGTGAATGACTGTCTCAAGGAGGAAATGAAGCAGATTCACGCTTTGCAAATGAAGACGTGGACGCCCTTGCAGTATGAGCAGAAGACGCAGAAGAAGATGCCGTCGAGCGACACCAGTGAGCTCTCGAGGGAGCAGTAGAGGCTTGTTATGGCATTGTGCGGCTTCTGATGGAAGTACATAAATGCCGTTTGTGACGGGTTTTTACGCTGTTAAGCAGTCTGTCTGTATTGAGTCTGGTATTTATAGTGCATCGGAGGAGAGGGTGGGTGACATCTAGGGGCGCGACGGAGCAACATTTGCAGTACTTCGGACTGGATCAGCAACGTGAGCGGGTCGGACTCGGCTTGTCGACGTCGTATCCTTTCAGTTTTTGTGGACTCTCCTATTGTTGTCACAGCAATTTATTGGCATTTGCGACGAGAGACTGTTGCTGTCATGCTGTAAGTAATGATCAGGATCTACAGGAATAGCTGCGGCTACATCTATCTTTAAGGAGAACGCAATATGGACCACACTATAGCCTTGGCTTGGTGCCGTCAAGGCAAGTCAAGTTAAGAATGAGGTCTTTGCAGTGCAGCGGCGATGCTGCTGCTACTCGCAGAAGCATGAGCTCTTGTCCCTGTTGCGACGACCATAGTATGTGGCCCAAACTGTAGCGCAGCTAAGGCTTGAGTCCAACAATGGCTTCTTAGGGTTGGCAGGACGCACATCCAGAATTGAGTACAGCGGCGCCATCGCCGATGGAGATGACAAAGCAGTGCATTGTAGGCAAACAAGTGGATTCATTGCAGAGCTTCTCGGATGCTAATGTCAAAGTCGCTACGTCTGCACACTTTTGGCAGTGCAACCGACTGCGTAGCTGTCTGGTTTACCGTGAACCTCAATGGATATTTCACTTGACACATCAGTTTTGAACTCCAATCAGCTGGCACACGATAGGCGCTCATCTTTGTAAGGGAGACGTGCGTCGCCACCTTTGAAGACTTGCCGTCAACTATAGTGCTCTGGGTTTACAATCGTCACATGTCAAGCACCTGGACTGTCACTGTTTCCAACATGTGCCAATCATTGGACCACCACAGCCCGTACTCGCACTGTCGCTCTGTACGAGCCCGGATGCACCCCCTCTCGTGGCCCACGACCTCACAGTTACTCTGCACAAGTGGAACGTAAACAATCGCTCTTTTGGACAGCAGCCTTTCCGTAGCGCACTTTTCCACCTTTACCTCGTCCACCTCTAGCCTACTTAAGCAAGCAGAAAGCGTGCATGGTTTTTACCTAGAAGAGGGGCTGGAGCCCAGCATGCAGCTCCGCTTCAAAGAAAGCAGATCAAACTGTTACAGTCGCTTCAGCTTTATTGTACGTCACTTGTACTAGTTGTCCAGTCTAACCTCCCTTGTATCATCCCATCTTGCAAAATCAACTCAAGTTGTATCGAAATCACCTCACGCAAGCAACAAAAAGCCTGTTCATCATCCACTCCCACTGTTTCCACGGACGGATTCTGTCCATTGCGTACTGAAGAGACCTCGAATGATGCCACGGAGCAACGGAGAGCTACGTCCCGACCAATCACAAGCCCCCACCGCCCTCCATCGAGCTCATCTCGTCTCTTTGCCACTGAAGATCTAGCCAGCTGCCAGTCGCCAATATGCTCGAAAGTACCAAAGCTCAGGCGCATCTTTTCGACGCTCTTAAAGCTAAGGGAGTCAAGCCCCTTTGCAAGGCAACCGCAGCCAATGAGCTGCCTACCGAAAGTGAAGAAGAAGAAGAAGGAGAAATAGAGAAGACGAAGGACGTTGGCTTCAAGTGGTCCGACGTCGTCTGGTACAACGTCCTCGTGCTGCTCTCGTGGCACGTGGGGGCGCTCTACGCGCTGCTGTTCGTCCTGCCGCGCTGCTCTCTCAAAGAGCTGCTCGTGCTCTGGCTCGTGCTCTGGCTCGTCTCCGGCCTCGGCATCACGGCAGGCGCGCACCGTCTCTGGTCGCACCGCAGCTTCAAGGCCAAACGCCCACTGCGGGTGTTCCTCATGCTAAGCAACTCGATGGCGTTCCAGGGATCGATCTTCGAGTGGGCGCGCGACCACCGCGTGCACCACAAAGGGTCGGACTCGACGGCCGACCCGCACGACTCGCAGCGCGGCCTCTTCTTCTCGCACATGGGCTGGATCATGCTGCGCAAGCACGAGGACGTGCGTGCAGCTGGGAAGACGCTGGACTTTACGGACCTGCTCGCAGACCCCGTTGTGACCTTTCAGACCCGACACTATGGGAAACTCGCGTTCCTTATGTGCTACTTCGTGCCAACAGCTATGGGTTCGTGCCTGTTTAGCAGCGCCTCCAGTGGCTTCTGGGTCGGGGGTATCTTTCGTCATGTCTGGGTGCTGCACATGACGTGGATGGTCAACAGCGTGGCGCACTTTTTTGGCTACAAACCGTACGACCTTAAGATTCGTGCTGTTGAAAACCTCTTTGTTGCGCTTGGTGCGCTCGGCGAGGGCTATCACAACTACCAGTACGTTCACGGTTACGTTCCTTTCGTGCTTGTGGTTTTTGTAGGTGGCTAACAATATCAGTGTGCTCTATTCTGTTCTCTTTGCAGCCACAAGTACCCGTCAGACTATGCGACAAGCGAGTGGGGGATACTCAGTGGTCAGTACAATCCGACCAAAGCCTTTATTGACTTTTGTGCGCTCATCGGCCAGGCCTATGACCTCAAACGCAGTCGCACGGCTGCCAAGACTCGTGACGTTGTGGCCAAGCAAGTAAACGAAGAGCTGATGAAGAGCGGAACGAGTCAGACCATATCGTGGTGGGACAGCCAAATTAGCCAGCTCTGTTTCGGCAAGTCGGAAACTCAGATTTTCTAGTAGCTCTGGCAAGCACATCAGTGGTGCTCGATGGGTTTGTCCAGTCTTGGTTGCGCTGTATAGATGAAAGCGTAAATAAAGGTCATCAGCAACTGCACCGGTGGGTGACCGCATTCATAATGCCGCCCGAAGCTACTGTTGCGACACAGCATCGTTTTTGCCGTGAAACAATGTCAACGAGCATGATGGTGGCCTACTGAGATAACTTACAATGCGCAGACTAGGGGTCAAATATTCGATCGGCACTAGCTACGAAATGTGCCACAGCGCCGCATTGATGTTGACCTCTTAGTCGATCATCGTTGACCCCTATGATTCGTACAAACTACTCGCAGTTGTTCTAGTTTACACATGGAAATCCCCACTTCTGCGTCAAAAGTCATAGAGATTTGGATTCCGCTCCAGGTTTGGAAGTAGTTTGTCGTTGATCTCCGATTCAACGGCAGCAAGTGATTAGCAGTCAACCCCATTACATATTTTGCACCCGTTTCTCTCTTCCTGATGAAAAGTCTAAGCATCGCTATTTTATGCATTCAGACAGGTCCAAAAAACACCCACCATAGCTCAGGCCTGTATGCAGTCCTCCCTCCGTCAACTTTTAGCCTCATTATGCATATATCTATAAGATAGAAGAGACTATTAATTATCGGATTATAGTACAAAGGAGAGTGAGATGCAAATAGTCTATTGCATGGTATACGTGTGAACAAGACTTCTGGAATGTCCTAACCCAGATTAGCAAAACCGGTGTCGAATGGCCCGGTGGTTGTACGTGACTCACCAAATGATGTGGTGCTCTGAAAGGTGCAGTGCTGGTGTCAAATATATCGATGCACTACCGTAAGCGGATGCCCCAAACCCTAGTATGTAGCGTTCGGCGCTCTCGTGCCGATAAAGCTCGTATTTTTTTAAGAAGATGATGTATAGTGAGGTGCGCGAACGACCCTCTTTATCCTGTCTACAGGCAACTAAAGTACCGTGTAGACATCTAACTTTAGAAATTAGTGTAGAACCAGTCTTCGGACGGCTGAGCGGCGCTGCGCAAGGTGTTGTCTCGAGATAATTAGATCCCTTGCATGTGTTGTGCAGCTCTGTATTTCATTATTGTTGGCTTGGTACACCTCCAGCCAGTGATTAACATTAGTGTCGAGGAAGACCGCGGCATCTGAGACGACACGGTGCCACGAGGTAGCTGGCAATTAAATGGAGGCACATCATTCCATTGCAAAATTAGCCAGTCGTATCGACATCTTGTTGTAGTTGCGGTGGCGATGGCCCCAGCTGGCGACGACACAATCGTCTGCTAAAGCCCGTGCTTATCGAAGTGATAAATTTAGGTGTGGTTTGCGAGAAGATGATGGGTACGAAGTTGAGATAGCACGAACGCACTGTCCTCAGTGACATGCAAAGATGAGTATCTGCTAGCTTTCGCTTGGCGGAGACCGGTGACTAACCCCCGGTATTCCGCGGCATTGTCGGGAGTATGAGTACAGCTTTAGGACTCGCCACCCACATGATGCAAACTGCGTGCGTCGGAGCGTGCAATTTGACGATGACGGATCCAGCCCCACCCGGTCCAGTATTTAAACGCGAACTACCTTCGAAGGACATAAGGTAAAGAACGCCTACGTCGCTGTTGCTCGGCAACGATCGCAACGAGGAGAGGGTCATCGTAGCATGGTAGAGAGTCAGCAAGGGTCGACCGCACCCGTGCACGGAGTTGACCATCCGCTCCAACATCTGACTGAAAAATGAGCCCGCAAAGCGAATGACCATTCGGCGGAATTGGGTATGAGTCGTAGCGCTATTTACCTCCTGTGGAAGAGATGAGTCCTCCACACGGCTGAGACGCCCGATCCAGATGGCATGCAGCGTCGAAGAAACGACAAAACGCCAAAGCCTGCAAGCTGCTGTAAAGACCGCATCCTTCGCACCAGATGGATTGTCGTCCGGGTGGATGGCATCTTTTAATAGAATTCGATGCCGCGCTTAGAAGACACGGCAAGTCCAATCCGAATACCCTGACTTCAAGTTCATCCTCCTTAATGATAAAGTTCGGAATTGACGAGGGCCATTTTAATCATAACGCTTGTGCACTCCCTGGAGTGAAAGGTGTTGCTATTTGTGCACAACTCGAATGCGCTGTACCATAGAGTCGAGATACCGACGGAGCTCAGGATCCACTAGATGCGCTACCAATGAACAATGAACGCCTTCACCGCATCGCCAAATGCGCGCTGCAGTCGGTGTAATGGTTTTGTTGATATAGGCGGCAGCATCCGTGCCATGCAGTGCCCCGCATATCGACTCATTTAATTCAGCAGCACTTCGAACCCAAACCATGCGGTCAGTACCACCCTTCATCATCCCTGGGCCACTGGACATGTCCACAGATGTGCACTACTGTCTCCTTGTGACCTTCACATATTGCCACCCGGCCAAAGCTGTTGTTTAGTTCCAAGCCTGGATAATACAGATTGATCTAATAAAGTACTAGCCGCTAATAGAACCATACTTGAAACCTTAAGATCGCATTTGGTATTTTCACCGATAATTACAGGTTTGGCAACGATCTGCAGAGGTCCAATCGTTCCGGTCCGCGCATGTTCGTAATTTTAAGAGCAGACCTTCCAACGGTGTGTCAGGCCCCTCTTTGGACATGCAATACGCTTGGCGCTTTATGTGCCCCATCACGTGTCGATTCGCCACTTTTGGTAGCGCGTGTCAAGAAAAGCTGTGGATTAATGGTTAAGCATCGATAATAATTAGGTTTTGGTCCTTTTAAGCGCGCTGGAGGGCGGATACATCGTCCCAATATTTTGGTGGTGTCACAGTAAAGCCGTCTTTTGTCCAGTTAAACCCGTTAACTCCTGTTCCAGCATGATTCCTTCGTATGTAGCATCCTGTAATAAAACGGGATAGCCCGCTACATGACATTTACACCAAACAGTGTCAATAGGAATATTGTCTAGCTTGACAATCTCCTGTCAATATTACTTGAAATAGCTAATATTGAAGGAATATTATCTCTTTGGATAATTTTTACGTGCTGCTCGAAGATTGGTTGATAAAAGACACATTAACCATAGATTAACACCAATCGCTTCTAGACGCGCGCAATGGGCGGTGAGCAGGTTGTCATCATACGACGATGTAGATCAATATTGTTAGATAAATACTGAAGTTATATTGATATCTTAACTGAATTAAATACGGTTCTCTTTTTACCTTTACTCAACGAGTCGTTCAAGTAGAATTACCTTCGTATGCACGTACGAGTGTACGTGAAGTTTCGTGGCACCCAAGCAAAGAGTAACCCGTTAAACCTGGAAGCACTTCGTAGTCCGTACAACGACTGCTTCGTTTCCGTCCAACGTGAACCTGTTGGGCGTAGAAGACGACAGCTTTCGTGTCACACGTGAAGGCTACTCCCATCTGAGTGACTCAGATCGGGAGGTAGTCGGCCGCATGAGTGTGCTTTTGGGTGAACCCGCCAGCAGTGGCATGTTGGAGTCTCTAAGTAGAGACCAGCAACATGTTGCTATCAACAAATTTCTACGAGGGTAACTTGCCGTCGAAGAACAGAAGATAGCCTTGCTACAACAGCAAGGCTCTCATCAGTCGATGGGTGGGCCGACGCACATGCGTCGACCCGAATCTTATAGATAGATATCTTAAGATAAATGAGAACCGATGAAGAATCCACTTTGAGATGGTTCGTCTAGTTAGACGATGCCTTCAGGGCGCGTCACATCGAGGGTGACGAGATGCAAGTCACCTTCGCCCTGTCAAATTTAACGGGACGAGGAAAGACTTGGGCCTTAGGTCTCAAGCTTCACGACCCAAACGGGTATGAGTCGTTAGAAATCTTGAAGTCTCGACTAAAAGAGACGTTTGAGCCGCCGAAAGCCGAGTTCAGAGCACGCTCTGCACTCTTGAGGCTCAAGCAAGGTAAGCGTGACGTGCACTCTTACGCACAGCACCTGCGCTACCTTGCGAGTAGCGTCACGAAAAACCCTGTTGATGAGCACACGCTCATCAACGTGTACATCTACGGCCTTGTGAATGGGCTGATGAAGACCTACATGTTCCGAGAGGACTTTCATACGCTGGAAAAAGCGATAGCGTATGTGAAACAAGAAGACTTCAGCCTGAGACAGTCTCAGGCTAACTCGTCAAACTATCGTCCGACGAGACGACAGGAAATAGGAGGTCCCAAACCAATGGACTTCTGTTACATCGAGAGCGAGAACTCTCGCTCTCTGAGTCACAAGCGAACGGCAAGATGCCATCGTTGTCAGAAGATCGGACACTACGCTCATGAGTGTAGCATCTCGAGCACCGCATCGCGTTTAAAGACATGACTTGATGACCACCGTTGGCCGAGGAAAGGTCCGAGGCGTGGGTCCGACCATGTTGCTAAGCCATGACAGCAAGTCGGATCGCCAAAAAACGGTCAGGGTCAGTAGGGGCGGAGCACCCTGCTGATCCAGCAACGTCAAAAAAATTTGCAGGACCCTTGACCAAGATTGCTCCCAACACACAGTCGCTGTGTGTTACTGCCCCTAGTGACGATTTGTCCCTTATCACCTTGACGATCGAAGCGACAAGTGGAATGTCACTTTGCGCCCTAGCTGACTGTAGGGCGTCGAACAGTTTTATTCGACGCCAGTCGCTAGAGGATAGTAGACTCAACTATGTTAAGCGAAAGTTCCGTCCAACGAGGCTGACGGTGTACCTTGCTACAGGAACATCCGTAACAGTGAACAAACGTGTAGTGGGAATTCGCTACACGCTAGAAGGAAAGCAGTACGATGATTACTTCATCGTGCTAGATTTGGATGACAAATTTGATGTCATCCTCGGTCTTCCATGGCTTAGAAAGTACCGGTCATGGATCAGCTGGCAGCATCGATCCGTGAAGATGCCTGCCGTTTGTTCATCGGATGGCCATCTGATGAACGTCTTGGAGCGTCCACAAGCGTGTGGATGTACTACGAGTGAGTGCGATGGACTCACTAGTGGTGCGGTCGTTATTACGATCGCACAAGATCACAGTGTAGAAGGCCACTGCACTGTGGAACCAGCTTCCGGCACCTGTGTAGTACACAGTTTGCGCCGAAGGTTCACCACTCGAAAAGATTAAGTGGACTGGAACGCGGATGCACACTAAGAAGGGTGCATCCAAGAAGAGAAATTAGGGTTGTTCAGGAGGAACAACACGTTGAAGCGAGATTGACTAGCAGAGAATCCATCATAAATTAAACAGGATTGACTACAAGAGAGTCGATCGAAGAGAACATGTCTGTTAAAGTGCACCCACAGTCAGAACACGTAATAAGAGTATATTTCGGCGTTCCTAAGAGTGATAACTACCGAGAAAGAGTTATGCTGAGGATGTGGACCCCCCACCACCTGCGGATGTGTTTTCCAGGAAATCACCGAGACAGTGAATGTCTTGATGAATGACGGATCAAATGTAGGCGCTTTTCACTTGATCCAATTACACCTCCGAAGTCAGCTTCGGAGGTAATCAAGTTGCCAACGCTAGAATCTAAAAGATTTTTGCAAGATCTGCGTAGTGACAAGATCAAGTAGATCTGCGTACTCGACATAGAGGTCGAGTACATCGCCTATATTCGGTCGGCACAAGTGTTTACAAAGAACGAACAGGTTCCCAGTAGCTAATCGATGGACGGAATTGTCCTCGAAGAGAAGACTCGGATTGAGCGATTAACATCTCAATCTAGAGAGTCGTTGCAAACAAATTCTTTGGGTAAGGATTAATTTATAAACAGGGATGTTTCCCTGGATTTGTGCCATGTGAGTTGCCTAAGAATAAAAACATTCGACGTGAGATCGAAATGGGAACCGGTTCGAATTACTATGGCATGAAGCAGTGGTCACTGCCTCGTGAACAGGTCACAGCGATCGACAAATTCTTTGACGATCGCTTAGCGGCTGGTCATGTGAGGTAATCAACATCCCCACACAGCTCTTCCACGTTATGTGTGCGAAAAACAACAGGAGGGTGAAAGACAGTACACACGCTCGACAAATTGAACGCTGCAACGGTACCGTCTCAGACGCCGAGCCCAAGAAAGGACACCATCTTAGATGGTATGGCAAAGAGTGCCATCTTTTCGTCCATGGATATAATGGATGGATTATATCACATTCTCATGCGTGAACGGGATATCCCTTACACAGCAGTGAGCACCCCCAGTGGTATGCTCTGGGGGTGGCTAGTGATGCCACAGGAGCTAAGTAACGCCCCTGCAACGTTCAACAGATGTGCTACCAATAATGTTGCGATCGGTGCGCGATTTCGCACCGAGTTACTTTAACGATGTCTTCGTCCATAACCGGGATATCGATGGAAAGTCGGACGTGGAGGCTTATAGAACTCACTTCCGGAAGGTTCTTACGCTAATGCGAGAACACAAGTTGTTCGCGAACCTCCAGAAGTGTGTATTCGCAGCGAGCAAAACACCACTTACTTCTTGGCTGCATCGTGGGTAAAAACGGCGTTGGCCCTGATCTGAAAGATCAAGACGATTACCAACTGGCATGTGCCAGTCGAGTCGATGGACTTAGAAAGTTTCTTGGCTTGGCGGCGTACTTGCAAAAATACTCGCGCAACTATGCCGAGATGACCGTACATCTCTTTCGTCTACTAAAGAAAAACGAAAGGTGGTCACGAAGCGCTGAGTGTCAGCACTCTTTTAAAGGCATCAAGAAAAGCTTGGTGCTATCGCCTGTGTTGGGATTGCGGACCAATACATACCATTCCATGTGGTCTAAGACGCCAGCGATTTGCAATCGGCTGCGCGTTGATGCTATAGAGCTCAGACGGCGTCAAGCGCGTCGTCTGTTATTAATCGCGTCATCTCCAAGCAGCTCAGCGAAATTATCCGGTATATGACAAGAAACTTCTTGCCATCAAATATGCACTGGCCAAGTTTCGGGTATATCTCTTACGAGATAGTCCCTTCATTGTTTCTGCCGTCCATGCGTCGTTACGCACGGGCGTAAACAGTCCACACCTCTCGCAACGAATGGCGAGGTGGCTGTCTTTCTTCGCTTACTACAAATCTCCGTCGAGTATAAACCAGGACGACTTGATGTAGACGCTGATGCTCTTTCGCGTCGGCCCGATTTCGAACCGACTGCTCAACCCAACAAGTGGGGGTGATCCCAATGTTGCAACACTATCAGTGAGTGTTCCGTTGTCGAATCTGCTCGAGGACTTGCGGAAGCATACGCAGAAGATGAGTCTCTTCTGCGGTTGATGGGTTATGTATCCAATCCATGCAGTCAAGCTTCGAAAAGCTTGTCGTCTCAATACCGCTCTTCAACCGAACGGTATTCGGTTCGTGATGGAC